TTATAATGAATATTGTCAATATATAATGCCAACTTAGGAATATGACATTGTTGTGATTATCCTTTGATATGAATTTGTGATAAGGGTATGTTTATCATGGTCCAAGGTTGATATTGTAGATTAAGTGCATGTGCTTGGCCAGGTTACACTTACATGTGATATATTTAAAGAGATGGATGTACCAAAATGACCAAGTTGATATGTGTGTTAGATTTTATCTACCCCTTTATGTTGTTGTGAATTGGGGTTTTAATGGTCATTTTAACTGTACATGCTTAACTGTATGTTATAATTGAATTGTCATATTGTGTGTGGTCTATTTGAGGTGGTCAAAGTGTCTTTGGGGCTAATGGCAATTGGCATTGTGAGTTGGACACCTTTATGTGTATTTTGATATGAAAACAAACCATTTTGGGTTCAAGTGTTCATCTTTTAAACGGATAATTGTTTGATTATGAAACCGGTGTCATCAGCTAGAAGGCTTAAAGATCTTTATATGGACATTTAAATCGCCCAAATCGAATATCGGATGGCAAAATGACATACTTTAGAAGTTCAGAGGGCTGTCATGACAGTAATCTGTTGTCATAATAGTAGGTGCGCGTCGTCGCACAAGGGGCCTTCGAGGGACTCATCCCTCTATGCCATACGCTGTGGCTTATGCCACAGTAGAAGGACCATAATTGTTGAAAAGTGGCTTGTTTTAACCTAATTGGATGTGGTTTGATTTTCAGGTTTCCGTATTTGTTCTAAATTGATTTTTAACCATAGTTTGAGCTCAAACAATATTTTAAAAAGGGTTTTCTTATAATCTCAATATTTTAAACTTATTATCTTTAAACCCTTGGGTTGTGATAATTTCTTTTTGAGATTTTATTTAATTTTAATTATCACAACGGCGTGTATGAGTGTTATCTTGATAATGTTGAGGTGGACATTACACCCTACCCTTTTAGTTAGTTTTCCGTTGAGTGGTTGGCTTGATTTATTTTGTTTTTCTTTGGTGTCTACGTTTGTAGTTCTGCATATATCCTTATTCTGTTGAATGTTAGCTTTCCTTGATATTCAAAAAAAAAAAGCAATAGTCTTGAAAACTAATTAAATTTGTGGCACTTTGATCGTTGGATTGGTTGTAGATATCAAAGCCCTAAAGGCTATTCATTCAAACATCAAATGGCATAAAAGAGCTTGTAGTTTTGAGAAATTTGTTGGCATGGTCCTGAAAACTAATATATGGAGAAATTGATTATGCACTATTAAAAGCACGAGATATACATGTTAGAGTAATAATGACTATGATCACATTGTATTGTAGAAGTTGACAATTGAAAGCCAAAAATATGTTGTCATGGCTATTGAAAAAACAATGGTCTTGCCATAATTGTGGAAATAGTAATATATCCATGGTGATTAAAATTGTGAGCGAATGTTGCCAAAAGCCATATATACAAATATATGTCATTTCTTTGAAAGTAAATGCCAAAATTGATTATCAAGCCCAAAAAAAAAACATTATATATTATAAAAAAAAACACCAATAGTAATCATGATGCCCAAGGCCATAAGTTTGGAGAAAGATGCCAAAAGTTATCGTAAAGCCAAAAGATGTAATTATAAGTCCAGGAGATTATATGCTTGGAAGGCTATATTATTTTTAATTTTCATCGGTATTTAAATTTATTTTGATCAACTTGTGTGAGAGAAATTATTGTAAACATTTGATATAATGATATTAATAAGTTTTCAAAGAGTGATATGAAACCAAATAAACCAAAAAATCATTACTGGTTTTAGACATTAATAATGATATATATGTGTGTGTGTGTGTGTGTGTGTGTGTCTCTGTGTGTGTTGGAATTAAATTCATTTTATGTGTCTTTTGAAGCAAAGAAAAATATATATTTATTCCAAATTTAAATTTGAGAATGATTTCTTAGTTTGAATTAATAGCGTTAATTCTATACATGAAAAATTTATTATAAATGATTGATATTAATTTTGACAATCATTTTTGTAATATGCGCACAATATACATTATAGAAAGTAAAATTCATGAGTGCTTAAATAGTTGGGATATTTGAAAGTAAGTTATAAATCTCAGATTTATTATTCTATATTATAATGTTAATGATCTATATATTAAATCTTATTTTCAAAAATGATGAATTTGTCTTCACATTCCTCTCTAGTTTTCTCATTTCATTTCACCCCCAAAACATCTTAAATCTTTATACTTTGGTATTTATGTATTTTAATTTTAATTCTTATAGATCTATTCAAATTCTTCTTAAATTTCTTTATAAATTCAATGGATAAGTTTTGGGATGTTACAAAATACATGTAAATGAAGTAATGTTTTTCCTCAAATCAAGAGATATTTTGAGAAAATAGGTGGCAGCAAATTTTGAATGTTTCATATCTCATACTTAGAGCATGCATTAAAGAAGCCAATTGAAGTATGTCATTAACCAGTAATGAAAATATGTGTTTGTGTGTGTGTAAGCGATTAATATATAAAAGTTCTTAAAAAATTGTCCATAGTTCCTGAAGACCTAATATGAATTTTTTCAAAAAAAAATTGATAATGAAAATTATAAGTTTTAGTTCCATAAATTTATTTGGTTCGCTGAGGGTCTGAAGGTAATAGTCTAATTAAATTGAAATCCACAATTCTTTGTGAAATAGAAAGCACTTGAGTTTTTAAGTGAATTGTATGCTATTGGGTTACTATATTCGCTCATTGCCATCTTTGAAATACGAGAATAAAAGATGAGTAATTTTGTGTGACTCGCATTAGAGAAGGAGATTAGTGGAATACGATTGTGAGTTAACATGGGTAGATTTCCACTTATATACTTCCTCTTAAAGCCCAATTGGATCTCCCAAATGGATGTCATATCAAAATTTTAAACCAGTTTTAAGTTATAAAAAATTTGATAAGTTTATTATTGATTAAGAGTAAACCAAAAGTTTGCTTATCCAAATAGATGCATTGTTGGCATGACTTGCTTGATATCCTAGACTACATATATGATTCAACAAAAGATTGAAATTATGTATTGACATTCATTGAAAAATCAAAATATTCTTCATGAATAGCCAACATATTATATGATTCAAGATTTAATATGTGTTGTTTATTCTCAAAGAAATTGATTATAAGATCAACAATTATGATTTGGAATGGATATGGATCTCCACATTTCTAGAAACATAGCAAACTCACATATATGGGCCTATCTAGATAGCATATAAACAACACAAATATTCAATAAATTTGACAGATGCACCTATAAAGTGGTTACATGTGGGATTATTATTAGTATGCAACCTGAAATTTCCAACATTATTTAAATAAGTCATTATATTGAGTAAGAAATTTCAAGACTATCCAATTCAAACAATTCCTATTGAAAACTCTGGTGAATTTAAATCTCACAATTTCATTGACTATTATACACTTATCAAAAGCAATTAAAAAGTCTATATTACAGGGAGATCAAGCAAAATCATCTATTAAAACCTCCATAAGTAGCTAGATCAATATATGATAACAAAATTCCCATTTTCAACTTGAGACAACGGATTTGATGTGTCACAACACTATATGCAATAAGCCAACAAAGTGTTATGGATTCTCCCTCGGCAAAATGGCTTTTGGTCAGGAGTTGAAAATTTTCCATCTTAGAATTATGAATATGCAATATTGATTCTTATTGTTCCACGACTATGCGCATACATGGATATACCAAAATAGCTAGGAATAAATGTCGGCTAAAGTACTCCTCCTTGTTTGTCTCTAATAGAAACAAATGGATTTTGGAAACATGTACTGATGATTAGTTGATTGTCATTTGACAAAATATATTACACAAGAATCATCAAGGGAAGTAAATATTATGTTGTAATCTTTTTCCTCAACCAAAATTTTATCAAATTGGGTTTTCCTAATAGGAGTTTTAATGAGGCAACTTCAATATATAATGTGTACTCTCTTTTTTTTTACTGAATTTTTGTCCCATTGAGTTTTTTCTAGTAAGATTTTAATGAAACATAATATTTGCTATGGATATTCAAGGGGAGTATTATATAAATATTATATGATTATATGAGTAGGTGCCCATAACTCTTAATGCTTATAATTCTTCATCTCTCATAATCTTATAATGAATGACCTAGATGGAGTTTCTCATAGTTAATGTCTTATAATCTCTTAAATTTATATATTATATTATTATGTCCTTCTTTATTCCTTTGTAACATTGAAGGCATAGAAATAGAGGTAATAAACAAACTACTATACATCCAAGTGAATAAAATATATTTCCTTGTTTCCTCTCTTGTCTTACCATTCTCTTTTCCTACTTTCTTTCCCTTTATTTTCATAACACTAAATTATTTATTATACTTTGTGCAACGACTCCCTCTTTTGTTTTTATGCCAAAAAGATGAGGTTGATCGCTAATCCTTAATTACATGAATTATGAGCAGTTGAGATTGAAAACATTAGAGTTAAAGCAGAAGCCACTCCATCTGGGGTGGTTATAACTTGGGACGCCGCTAATTGCTATCGTGTGGTGATTTTAAAATTTTAAGTTAATTAGCAGGACTGACCTAACTGGAGAAGGACCATTCTTTGGTCATCATCTTCTTTTATGTTGGAGGTCACGTGGCGTCTTAATGATATGATCAAAAGTTAACCAGTCGGGACACCGGACACGGGCAGAGCCAGTCGCGCGAAGGGTTTAATAATGCTCTGCATTCAAATATTTAGTCTTTGAATAAATCTGCGGAATTTTAAAAATAATAATATGAGTGCACAAATGCGACTTTTGAAGTTTTGTCTTTTATTACCCAAAAAACCAAAGACCCCAGCTGTTTCATTTCATAAAAGATTTGATTAATGGATAGTAGAGCGTTTGCCAAATCACACCAATTTTATTTGACCAAATCCCGTCACCGTCTCCCACCTTTCTTGACAAAATCAAACACATACTACCATGTCATGGTTGAACATGCTGACCTTGTTCATTATTATGTTTAAAGATGAGAGAGTAGAACCCATTCTTCCAACAATATTTGGCTTCTGAGCGATGGAGAAACAGCACAAGCTGAAGAACAAGATCTTGAAGATACTGCCAAAAGCAGTCCCGTTTCAAAACCCTCCTTTCAGTCCAGGCAGGGATCACACCAGAAGACCTAAGAATGCATCCAGGTGGTTTAAAGCATCGATGATTCCGGATGAAGCTAGAACTAAACCCAAGGATGATGGAGGGGGCAATATTGATTCTAGAGACCCCACTTCTCCTAAAGTGTCGTGCATGGGACAGATCAAGCACATGAAGAAACAGGTCAAGAAAGCCAAGGCCAAGAGTATGTCGCTGCCTAATGACGTCGGAGAGGTCAAGGAGGATTCGTCCGTTTTCCGAAGGATATTCCACGGAGCTAAACCTCCTGCTGCGGATCATGGTATGGAGGATGCAGTTGCGGGAAGAGCACCGGTTCTGGGTGCGATGAAGCGTTTTGCGAGTGGGCGGAATGCTTTCACCGACTTTGATTGGAAGGCTCGTGCGCCGGCAGATATGGACCACGACGGTTATTTTTCTGATCAAGACAGAGAAGAGAGTGACGCAGAAGAAGAAGAAGAGGTCATAATTCCTTTCTCTGCACCTATTCTGGTAGGTGGTGGTTGTTACGCTGGAGGAGTGCCTTTACAGCCAAGGAAGGAAATTAATCTGTGGAAAAGGAGGACGATGGCACCGCCGAGGCCTCTTCAATTGAAACCGGTTCTCCGATCAAAGTGATTTTTGCAACCAAAAAAAAAAAATTTACAAATGTAAGTTTGTGTATGTGCACCTTATAATTTCTTCTGATCTTTTTATTACGCTTTTTTGGGGCTTCATGTGGCTGTAAATATATTCTATGTGATGTAAATTTTTCCCCGAGTGACCGGTGGCCGTGTATTACCTACATATGATTATAAATTTCGAAGACATAACAAAAATTGAACCTTTTTCTTCCGTTTAAATTAAACATCGTCTCCACATTCCTATTATACAAACCGACCCGGCCAGCTATATATGAACAAGTTAGGAATGAAACTGAATTTGGTTTGATAATTACTTTCAATATGTTTGGCACATGAAATCTACATATATAAAACGATTCTAGTAGCGGTAATAGTAGATACGTGAATTTTGATGAAGATGAGCAGCCGTTATCAAGCCTTGTGCAACAAATAATTAGAATTGGGCGTGTTGCAATGGAAATAGTGTGTTGAAACGCAGGTTTCCCAGCAGCTGCAAATCTTGTTGTGAGGTCATTGGTTTTCTAGTCGTGAATGAATAAAAGGATCCTCTGTGCAATTACCGTGCCACTTTCTCCCCAAATTGCTAATTGCTGAGTGCTAGCTAACCAAGGAAGGCCAGCCTCAGATTATAACTAATGTAGGTATAACTAGTAAAGTTATGTAGTCTACGCTCATTTAAATTAAACAAACATGATGGTTATTAAATTAAACAAGCGAAACAGGGAAAAAGGTATCCACAATCAGAAGCAAGAGTTCCCCACTTTCCCCTGGATGGTAGATGCAGCGCCTCGATGAATTTACGAAGGGATGCGCGGAAGCATGTATATGTATGTATGTATACATATATACATATATATATATATATATGTTATATTCCACAAACATGGTTATCAAGTCTCAGGATTCAAGAATAATGCAGTACCTCCACTATTTGGTGGATGTATAATGACATTTATCAGGACATGGCAGAAGTCGAGCCAGACATCTAATAAGTGACGCGTACCCCTTGGTACCTCAGAATTTCCCCGATAAGTTCACCTTTTCCAGAACCCACGTACCTTCCACTAATCTTACCGTCTCTGATGAACAAAAACGTAGGCACCTCCACCACGTCCATGTCTCTCAGAAACCGCATGCAGCTGTCGTTCTCGTCCCCGTTCATCCTGGCGAACACCACCGAGTCAGCCATTTGCCTGGACAGCTTGAGCACCGTGGGATACACCTTCACGCAGGGCCCGCAGTGCTTGAGCCCCACGTCCAGAACGATCAGCTTGTGGTCGGCCTTGTGATCCTCTATCAGCTTCTCCACATCATCCCTGCTATGCAGCTGTACCACTCCAGAGTGGTTGTCCCCGTAGTATAGCACGTCACCCATCAGCTGATCCGGACCGATCCCTTCCTCTTCGTGTATCTTCTCCATGCTCTTGTAGAAGCTGAAGTGAGGCACTTTTTCCACCTTTTCTCTCCTGCACAGCTCTTTCGTCTTTTCTGATTCGTCGCTCATTACCAGAATGAAGTCGACGTCGCTGCACGATCGGCTCAGTTCCACCATGAAAGGGTATATTTTGCTGCTCTCGTAGCTGGTCCTGCTCGCGTATTCGACCACCACCAGTCTGTCTTTGGCCGATCGAAGTGCTTGGTCGAATTCTTCGATGCTGTGAACTTTTTGGACTCTCTCGTCGCTTTCAATCTTCTTGGCGCCAGGGGCAGCGGTGGCCCTTGTGATTAAGCGGGTGTGGTGAGGAGTTTTGACTTTGAGTGCTGCTGGCGGGCAAGAAGTGTGTGGCGTCAGAAAAGGTGAAGAAGAAGAACGGGAATGAAAGGGGATGAGCCTGGAGCAGTGGGCGGAGAGGGAGAAGGGTGATTTGACTGCGAAATTGGAGATGGAAGCCATAGAAGCAGGGATTCGGATATCGTAGGAAAGGCTAATCACTTGGCCTTTCAACTATAACCTGCGTCAAGAAATAGCAATGGAAGGAGTGAGGGCGCTGCCATCTTGCCCCGGCTCAAAAATCATATCCGCTGCCCAGGCGTGTGGTTCCCATTGTTCACACTTCACACGCCCTCCCTCTTCTCCGATTTTTTTTTTTTTTCTCTTTCCGTTTTCTCTATTTTCTGGGTTATCTTTCCAACTTTTTCTCCTCCATAATACAGGGGGCTGGGCTATGAGCTTGCTATGTTCTTTGGGCCGCAGCTCCGAGTTGATTTTGTCAAACTATAGAACTCCTTCGGAAATTTTTGTGGACGGACCTCTTTTCTCCGAGATATTTTTGGTTGACATGGGTTAAAAATTCGTTCCTTTTTCCTGCTTTTAATAACTTCGAAAATCGGATATAATAATTAATAAACATTTTTGTTTAATAAGATGCCCAAGTCACAATCGTGAGAAAAAAATTTAATAATAAAGGGTCTCACTTGTCCATGATCAAGACAACTAGAATTAAAACTAGTTTATAAAAGTTTATTGACACCTCAATTTTCTAAAGCAAGTTAACTTGAATGCTAGAATGCTCGATACTAGTGTTCGTAATGCAACAATAGAGCGAATTCCCTTTATATACATGTAATTGATTTTATATATATATATATATAGAGCAATCTTTCTTCTCTCCTGTCTATAGGAAGATTTTTTCCATGCAACTGCCTGACTTGAGATCCAATACCTTCCAAAAAATATAACGGCGCAAATTGTAATCTGACTGTTTATGCAAGCCTCCCTCCACCCTTCATTCGTAATTTTGTTCAAAACATAGTAAACATGTAGATGCATGCCTACACGATGTTTGCATTGTTTACCTTTATTAAATATATAATTTTTAAAAAATGCTCTCTCACGTGTAACCTCTTACTCTAATACAAACAAATAAAAGGGGAAAAAATTATCGACCCACTTTTTTAATGCAAAATTACTCATAAAAGAGGCCATTAATGTTGTTTTTCCAAAAAGTTGGTGTTGAATCCGAGGAGTTAGTTAAAGAAGGAATGATGGTATGGCGGGCAAGAATCATTTTTGGGAATAAGTATATTCGGGGTTCTTGAATCTCGGCGTGGTAATTTAACACCGGTAAGCGTCACAGTGAATGTAGGGTATCCAAACCGACCTACCTACTGTAACATCAGCTGAAACGGAAAAGGCCGGAATGTGGGAACACGTGATCTGGCATCGCGTCTGATGAAAGCACAAAGGAAGAGATCTTTTCGATACGGGACTCCGTTAATCCACACAAGAAAAGAAGAAGAAGAAGAAGAAGAAGAAAGTGGGTGGCTGCGGATTATTTGGGGAAAAGATGCGATTAGGCGAGCACGGGTCACGGGGAACATGACAAGAGAAACGAGCATTGCCAGATCCAAAGCTAGCAGAGCGAGGGTGGGGGACACGAGGGGCGTGCCATCCATAGCAAGATATTTTATATCAAAACACAATGATGATAATAGTAAGATTAGATTCAGGGGCGTCCCAAGCCCTGAATCTGAATTCTGAAAGCCCCGAGCAGAATCAAGCGGTTGTTAGTGGTTGCCACCTAAGCCCTCTCACCCGCCAAGATCCATCACGTCTGTCAGTCATGTGCGCCCCCTTCTACCAACTCTCCTCTCTTCCCTTCTCTCTCTTTTCACCGGCGTCGCCAGATCCAGCCACTGCCTTTGCCTTTCATTATACCACCACGTTCAATTTCCACCGCATCCCTGATCTCTCTTTCTTTCTCTCCAGCCACTCTCACTATTCATTAAAAACTACGATCTCTCGCGCGCGCCCACGCAACACCCATACAATCGCCAAACAGAAAAACGAAATTCCTTACGCAATTCCTTACGCCGGAGAATCAATCAGCCTACAACATAGAGATGGGCGCTTTTAGATCGCCCGCCCGGCCGTGGAAAACAAATTTCGGACTCCATTTATGAGTGCCAACAACATCCTTTCTTTCTGCTAACTAGGACCGGATAACAGATATTGCAGTTAAAACTATACCGCTTGAGCAGAAAATTTCAGAATCTAAAGTACAAATCTCAAGAACAAAATTACACCGAGTTCATAGTAATAATAAATTAAAATTAAAGTGAAAAAGACGAAAAGCTAGAATACGCCTTGGAGGTGTGAGGGTTTTACCTCAAGACTGGGAGGCAGCGGACGGGGGCTTTCTGCAGAGGACCATGTGCATAGGGGAAAAAATTCCGGTCTCGCCGCCTCTGGTCAAATAGTCGGCCGTCTTGAATAGCATCTCATGAACGTCCACAGTCCCTTGGGGTGCTATTCCCAATGCGGCCAGCAGCGTGATGACAATGTGGTTCCTCCAGTACGCGATCCTCCCCATCTTCAGCCTCGTCCACCACGGCTGAGCCGGCGGCTTCGCTAGATCCCGCTCCTTCACCACCTCGAATCCCACCTTACGCGCCGTCTCCGCGATATCGGCGTAGCTTCTCAGCCCCGGCAGAGCGTCCCCTCTTTCAATCCCTTGGATTATCTCAACGTGTTCCGGGTTCTCCGCTCTGTACTTGGCCGTCGTCACCCATTCGTAGGAGACATACAGAGCCCCCGGCTTCAGTACCCGATAGATTTCTGCGTACACCTCCTCCAGCTTCGGCGCGTGACATGTTGCCTCGATAGAGTACGCGCCGTCGAAGCTGTTATCGGCGAAGGGCATCTCCAGGAAATTGCCGCACACGACCTCGCAGAGAGAGTCCAATCCCGCCTTCTTGTTATGCAACCTGGCACGATTCACTTGGTACTCGTTGATGGTGATGCCAACGACTTTGGCACGCGAGTGCGCGGCGATAGCGCGCATGGGCCCGCCCACACCGCATCCAACGTCCAGAATTCGATCGCCGGGTTTGACATCGATGAGATCGACGGCCATCTGTTCGTGAAGTCGCGTGGCATCGCGATGGGATTTACCGGGGATGGAGGGAGAGAAGTGGAAGGACTGGCCCCAGCCCCACTCGTAAATGTCGGTGACTAAATTGTAGAAAGTATCGACAAAGTCAGGGACTTTGTCGGCTGTTTCGATCTCCTTGGGGCGGCGGAAGAAGGACCAGTACTGTTTATATTTGTCTTGGACTTTCTCGGCGGAGATGGAGCCACCGGACAGATCAACGGCGCGTTTACCCTTTTGTTCGGCAGGGCCGAGAATGCAGACGAACCAGTAGAGGCCGCCGGCGAGGAGAGCGCCGGTACAGAAGAGGGCAAGAGAGTCCATGGAGGGAGAGTGGAGAAGGCGGAGATTTGGGGTTAGGAAGTGGTGTTGGTGTGGAGAGAGAGGGTTTGTAGGAGTAGAAGTACTGGCCGATGGCTGTGCACGTGCATCCCGCGTGAATCGGCCTCTCTTGATCCCTTGATTCTCTCTCTCTCTCATAAACAGCTCAGACCCCACGCCCTATCCCATATTACGGTTTTCCTGCGTCACGGCACCATCCGTTTGTTCAGGTACTATTTACTTTTTCTTTGGGCCTTGATTCGGCCATTTCTCTCAGGCCGAAAAATGATTCAGCTACTTGTCTTCGCTTGATTTTCTTTCCTCAATTACGGCTTGCTTCCGATTTCTTTTACACAAGATAGCCATTAAATTAAATTATTATACATATCAAACCACGATATTTATGAGAATAAGTAAAATAAATCACGATATGAAAGAGACGCGTTCAAAAAATCGAGATAACCGGAAAATAATAATACATTACTAGATAATGTAGAAGACAACTTCCCATGAAATTTGAAACAATCCATGCTATTTATGATGTATCAATAACGCAACTTGTAAACTTTATATTACACATTGATAATTGAAAATATTTCAGGTATAAAAATTACTCGCCCAAAATGCTAGTATAATAAGGAAGTAATCAAAACAAATTTTGAAAAATTTGTTTATGTTCAGTATAAAATAAAATTAGAGTAATTAATATTTTTTAACTTTATCACCTCTTTATTTGTTATGGTTTGAATTCCTAAACAATAATAATTTGTTCTGGTTATTAATTGTAAAGAAAAGCAAAATTAGAGAGTCGCATATTTTTTAACAATGTTAAGGATATAATTATTATTTATTAACAAGATGAAGTTAGTTAAATTTGTTTTATACACTCTCCAATCCTATTTGCAAATTACTTTTAATTACTTTATCAGGCCTAAGGAAAACTAGCTGAGTTATTGATGTTGTCTTAGAAAAGAAATAAATTTTCTAAGTTGTTATTATTAAATACACCATCTTTGAAGATACATTTCTCCTGTTAAATTAGAATGAAGTAATTATATATAGAACTAGATGAAGTATTAAATGACTTATTAAAAACTATTAAAAATATGACTTAATATAAGACTGAAGGGAATATTGAGGACTAGACGGATTAGTTCTTGTTTGGTTTCTGCTTGTGGCGGATTCTTATCTCTGTTGTTGTTGTTGTTTTTTTTTTTTTTTTCAATAAACGTGGGGGCAAAGCCCAAGTAAATAAAATTAGATTAAGTCAGCCATTTAAATCCCATACGATCCTTTAAGAGCAAGTCCCTTAAAAATAAAGGAACTGAATCAAATAGAGATGAGTTAAAAATTTCAGCCTTTGATTCATATCTCTGTTGTTTTTCGTTTGCTTTTGTTTGGATTTTAATTTGTGTTGGTGGGGTTGTTTTTGTTTTTTGTTTTTCGTTTGGGGGATGGGGGGACACGTGTACTGTTTCGGGATTCTTGTTCTAATTAATGATGCAACAATCTCTCATTCTTTCCGAAAAATCCAAATAGATTTCAAAATTCGTTAAGCACAGCGCTCCTTAAAATTTAAACAGGATTTTTAGAAACATGTAATTTATTTTGGATTAAGCAATGCCAAATTTCAAAAATATAATACAATGTGCACTTTCATAAAAGACATAAAACATTTAAAAGTATGAAATATATCAACTCTTATAACTCATCCTGTCTTTAAATTATTAATCATTCTTTATCACATAAGAAGCAATTTATACTTTTATATACCTGGAGGATGACAAATAGAAGCCATGGAATAAAATTAGGGCCTGTTTAGCTTTATTCTCATTTTTTTTATTTTTAAAAAACTGTTAGATAATATAGTTTTCAAATTATTTTTCAAAAAAAAAAAATAAAAACTCGTTTGGTTATGTCAATTAAAAAATAGTTTTAAAAATTAAAAATGAACTGATAATGATGATTATAGATAGTTAATGATGATAATTAATAATAAAAATTTCTCAGGATAACTATAATTTTTAGTAATCAAATGTAGTATATTATAAAAATAAGAAAATAAAACAAAAAAAACTTGAATTTGTTTCTTTTTTTTGTTTTAAAAAAATCATTTTAAAAATAATTAAATGAAAACTTATCCAAACTAGTTTTAAAGTTTTTATGTTTTCAAAAACAGAAAATAAGGACCTATTTGATTTTTATTTTCATTTTTTGTTTTTAAAATTTGTTTTGTAGTATAATTTTCAAAATTATTTTTTAAAAAATAAAATGAAAATTTATTTGCTTATGTTAATTTACAAATAATTTTAAAATTAAAAAATAGATTAATAGTGATAATTATAGACAGTTGATGGTAAAAATTTATTATAAAAATTGGTTAAGGTAACTGTAATTTCTTATAATCAAATATAGTTATTTTAAAAATAAGAAAAATAAAATAAAATAATTGTTAGTATGTGATATGTTAACATAATCATATTGACGGCAAGAGTTTGAATTAGTGGAGAATAGTGATTTTTTTCGCAAGGATTACACTAACATTGCAAGACTTCAATGCTTGGTTCTTTACTCTACTCTTAAACCTTATATATGAAAGTAGTAACAGGGCTTACTCTTAAACCTCAACCAGTGAAGTTGATAATAGAAATTTATGACACCCTTATGTTTGAGATAGAGGAATTCATGGTCTAAGAATAAGTGTAGGGTCTTAGCCAGGTCACATCTTGTGATTGAAGAGCTTGGACTGACCTAATCTCATGGACGTAGCTCATAATTATTTTTTAACTCAGATTCAGTTAGTAGCGATAGAGGATTAAAGGAGATTATTGATCATGTATTGCATTGTGTAATTGTGATTAATGATGATATGTTTTTTCTATTATGGCCTATTTTGCATGCCCATGGTTATTTGATTTGTATGTGCATGTTTTAGATTTTTTTAATTATCAAGTTATTATACTCACATCCTCTATTAATATTTTACAGGTATTATTGTTGTAGGAGCAAAAAGGAGGCTACAAAGGCCAGTGACTAACTATCCTTCCTATAATGCCATCATTTTGTTGTTCGATATTGTTGCGTGTAAGGGTTGTTGTCAACTAGGATTGCATTGTGATTCTATTTGCACTATTATTTGCGAATCATGGCATTGAAAAATTTCAGGTTCATGGATTTTATGGTTTCATGTTGCTAATTTAAATTGAGCCAAATTGATGGTGCAAGTATGTATGTGGTCATTTAAAATGGGTTTATCATAAAATGTGAATATTTGGTATGAAACCTCCCTCTTGATTATTTAAAATGTTAAGGTTGAAAATTCATATATGTTGCTTAAGAACAAATGTGATGTATTATATAGATAGTTTTAAGTTTATTAAATGTGGTGTAGGGGTTTTGTTTTGCTTTTGACACTTGATTTGTGTATTTTGGACATCCAGAATGTGTTTAAGTGTGAAATTATGGTGAATGTGATTTTGGGTGTCCAATGTTGTGATGTGAAATAATTTGAAAATAAAACAATGCCATTAACTAAATTATTGAATTATCTTTCTAGAGACATGAATGTCACCTCAATCAGATATCAAACGGAGATTCAAGTATTGAAAGTTTGGCCCCTGGATCTTCATGAGAACAAGTTTCTATGATGAATTGTGTCTAGTGCATCGCGCATGCATGACACAGAGCCTTACTGACTGCTACAAATCTCTAATAAGTTGTAGCGAATGAATTGTTTCCTTTAAAAAAATTATATTTTTTACCTTATTTATCAATGTTTTCAATTTGCGAATGTATTCAATACTTTCAATTACTTGTAAACTCTGACAAGTTGTTATTTAATAAATATTTTGATTTAGAAAAACAAATTTCTAAACCTAGGACCCCAAATGTACACTTCCCCCTTTTTAAATGTTATTTGTAACTTTTTCCACAATAATATTTTCTAAAGGTCCTGGCTTAACTCTTTATACTATCTCAGAGTTTATAAATTTTGGTTTCAAGCTATTTCAACATAGTACGGTTTTAAACTAAATCTTTTCTTTTTACATTATGAATAACTTTTTCAACCGCAGTTGAATTTTCCCTTACCATGGTTAGGTAATTAGGATTAATTACCTTATGTTATCATGATAAAGTTTAGTAATTGTGGTTAAGTTTTTGGTTAAGTGAGGTGAAATTACAATATTCTTTTATTGTACTTTTTTATCAAGTATTAGATGTATATAACTATTTATTGCCTTACTTGTCATGAGCACGAAACTCCACCGTAAAGCACTACACAAACACCTTACTTTATGGAGAAGCTTAAATGAAAGAAAAAGAACACTCTAAAGGCTACTTGAATGTGTCTAACAAATTTATTATTGACTTCAAATATAGATAAACGTATTTATAAAGACAGACACACTAGATTTATTACATGAGCCAGTACATTCAATATTTTACCTACCTTATATGATTCAAATTATTGTTTTGCATTTCATTGATTGTAAAAAAACTCTTTGAAAAGTATTTGCTAAAGTAATTCACTTTATGAATTTACTCTATTTATTTTATTTTACATATGCTAGAACAAATGACTTTAGTTTGGGACTTAAGTGAGTTAAATCATTACCTTTATAAAGGAGAGTAATTCAAGCATAGAGTCGAGGATTGTATTGAGGCAATCAAGGGTCCGGATTAATCTTGATGGAGTCAATGATAAAAACTTTTAAGTGTAATTGAAAACTGGATGCAAGTTCAAGTAACTAAAATTGAATTAAGATAAATACCCGTGCGAGCTTCTTTCTATTATTCTTTGAATATTTGGTGATATTTTTCCTATCCCTATCTCATTTAATTATGCATCATTGGTCAAAATTTTTAAATAGCCAAATTCAACTTCTCTTCAGCACTTTTACACTTATGAATTTAATTTAGTAGAATTTGGCTACGGATAACATTGGGCTATTCAAGAGTTAAAGGATACACTTATTTGCCCTTTTGATCCAATAAATTATTAATTTAATAAAAAATTACAATAAAATTTTAGGCTTCCATAATTAATTTAATCAAACTGAGTGTTTGATTTGGAAACAAATACTTGATTTAATAACGTTATAGGTGTTCATATAAATTTAGGGGAAAAAACGTTCTGAGCTTTGATAACTGTTTTTAGCAGAGTCGAATAATAGCTGTTAAGCAGAATTTCAATGTGAGGCAAGTTGATTGGGTTGTTGGGAACTCTGCAAATCTGGATAGTTAGATTAGATTTAATGATTTATATTTAATAATTTTTACAAGTATTGATTAAATAAGAACAGTTAAAATTTAATCTAAATGTTTCAGATCTAGGGAAAATGCAATGTCAGTGAATGGTAAAAGCACGCACAGCATGAATCGTCTGACTGCAATCAATCGGTTAGAAGAAAACTGAAAAAATGAAGACGAGAGTCCAGAGGAAAGACGGCAGATGCATAGCATTCAGATTCAGATTATGATTAGATTTAGAAGCGATGCTTCAATTCCACAGCAAACAGATTCCATAACTCGTCACGCCATGTAGAATGAAATTTATGGTCATCTTAAGCAAACAACATGATTGAGAATTCAGGCAAAGCAAGCCCCGGTTGCTGGAAAAAAAAAACAAACAGAAAGCATATCAGATGAGCATCAATTTCTGGTTGCTTGCATATTAACCACCTGCTTCCAAGAATCTCGAGCGGAGATCTCAGACCACCACCTGGATACATGCGTCCTGGAAGTGAACATTTCGCTTTTGCTAGTGCTCATCAAGTATTGCGTGTTGGGAAGGTGAGAGAGGTCCGCCAGAGAAAATTCATCCCCCGCCAAGAAACGACTCTCCCCAAGCCTCCTTTCGTACACATCGAGCACTTTGGCCAGTTTTTCTCCGTTCAGATTGATGGCTCCCTCGTCCTGTTTTATCTTCATTCTAGGAGCAAACGCGAGCTGAAACACCAGAACTGAGGTGGGAGGGTTGAAATTCTGCCCTTCCGCCTCTAACCACTGATCTATGGACGCCTTCGCCAGCGGGTTCGTGCCGTACAATGCCCTGTTCCCTTTCTCCGGATGCTTCTCGCAAATGTATCGGCATATCGCTCTCGACTCTGAATTTATGTAGCTTGAAATAACAACAAACAGCAAATTGGAGAATGAAGAGGAAATGAGAGAAGTTGATGCACTTACCGAAGAGGGAGATGCTATCGTCTTCAAATGCTGGTACTTGACCAAAGGGCTGGGGACATCGTCAATTAATCAAGAGTTGAGACAGAAAAATCAGTGAAAAAGCGAGGGAGAGCAAAAATGCAAGATCAAACAAGTGTGAAAGAGAATACATGAATCTTGAGGAAATCGGGCTTCTTGTGCTCCCCTTTGGACATGTTTAGAGGAATAAGCTGGAATCGGACATCCTTCTCAATGAGACACGCCAAAACCCTTGACACAGCGGTGGACAGTGTTGGTCCGTACACTTTCACCGGCGTCGCCATTTCTAACTCGGAAGAAGAATGCCTCTTTTCGCCGCGAGTATTGCTTCTTCCTTTCCCTTGTGAATGATGCCCTCCCGTCGTGCTTTTCACCCTAAAAATGAAATCCGAACCTGATCCTCTGGCTTTATCCTATCCCATCCCGTCTTCTTAATGGGGCCTCACCCTAGTCTTGCTTTAGGGTCCTGTCCTGTCCTGTCCAGTGCATTCGCATTTCCAATTTGGTCACTCTCTCTTTGCCACAACTGTTAACTTGGCGCTAATTACCGCTTTTTGTCACAAACATTTGAAAAGAATAAAAAAAAAAATTGGATACAAATTTAAGAATAAATATAACTTTTAACTCCTATATTTTATTCATATTTTATTTTTAATCTTGACTTTTTTTGATATTTTAAATTTATATATTTTTATTTTTTATTATTTTCAATTTTTAAATGAGTAAAGTATAGAAATTTTAAAAAAATTTAAAAAAATAAAAAAAAATATAAGAATTTAAAATATTAAAAAATATACATCAAAAGTAAAATATTAATAAAGTATAACAATCAAAAAGTTATATTTATTTACAAATTTAATCATATAATTTTAAATAAAATCCAAAAATTTAAAGCAGGTAATTTTGGCAAAGCCGTGGCAGGTTACAGGCTTGGCAACATGGACGGATATAATCTGCATCATCCTGTTGAGTTATATTTTAGCTGACCTACCAACCCATAGCTAGTTCACGACCTAAACAGTTAATAAAACATATTTTTTATTTTTTTTAATTTTAAAAGTTATAAATTCATATCTTTTCATTTTTTTTTTGGCTGAAAGAAAATTATAATTTTATTTTAAAAATTAATTATCTAAATAAAAATAAAACTTCTTTCAAACCATTAAAAAATACATTAATACAAGCCACCAACCCAAGGTTTCCATCTGATAAGCTCAAAAAATTCATTCAGGATGACATGACTAAAAGCTGTTGAGATTAAAGGCGGTGGTTAAATCCAACCAATCATATTTTAATAATCACCCTGGAGTGAGGAAAATCAGCAACAATGACAATAGCTTTTCACAAGCCAATAACAACTCAGCCGGGAGAGAGAATTGGCATTGGGGCTACTTGATTCACTTCAATTCATATTAGCTTATGCTGAAAAATTCACAATTATAAAGCAGTTATTAATGGAAAAAGGAAAAAAAGTTTTTTTCCTGTTAATTTTATTTTAAAATTTTAAATGAATCATTTTGTTTCTTTAGCAAATGTTTTAAATTATCAACTTTTTAAATATTGTTATGTTTTTAATTAGACATATTTTCCTTTTATTACATAAAATTTAACTCATTTATACATATTTCCACAACTTATAAATTCATTTTACTTATTAGTATATTGAAATGTTGAAATTTTGATTTGTTAGATACTCAAATTTTGGCCTAAATTAAAATAAGTAATGGATTGTACTCTTGCTTGCCTCAGCAAAATTAAATTGACAAATGTAACATTCACACAGTTATTAAAAAAAATAAGAAATTATTTGACATGGTTAATTAATTTGTATAATTAGATAAAATTATAAGACAAAAATATTCATATCAATTACTTCTCCCCAATTCCATGCGCTATTTTTTTTTTCATTTTTTAAACTATTAGTGTACATATATTAGGTTTCATTTTTATTATTCTTTTAAAATTTTTGATACATTTTAACAAGATTTAGATATTTAAAAAAGAGTGTCAAAATGGAAAAAAAAAAAAAACAGGCTAACATGCCAACTTGCGAGTTAGCCTGTTGTATGTTCGGGTTGTGTATTGGGCAGCATCTAAACAATTTACATTTTTTGCCAACTCAACTTATATCTTTGGAAAATAACAGCTAAGGACCACAATATCAAATTTATATTAGTCAATGATCAATTGACTTTAAAATTACACTGTAGTCCCTTAATTCTTGATTGATATTAATTTGTTATGTTAAAAGATCAAATTGCGCCTAAAACATTTAAAAAAAAAAAGACATCCCTAGCCGTCACACGCCATTGGATATCCTACAAGTAGCAAGGTTGGTAGCAACTGATCCTATGACCAATTGCCACCTAAAAAGTTGGCTGCCACCAAACCTCTTAATTATACATGCAAAAAAATATAAGTAGTAAAGCAAACTTCTAATCACTTTTATGTTACAGCATAATAGTGTATTGTTAATTTATAAATAGAGCTTGTTATTTTACTAATATTACTTGTTAATTTGATATGGATAATTATGAATTAAAAACTTTAAAACTTTATACATTGTCAAAACTTATTAAAACCAGAATAGATTATTGTTAATTAAGCTCGCCCTATTAGTTTTTTCCAACTTGTTAAAACTCGAATAGATTATTGTTAATTTTAAATGAATTGTTAAAACATAAATGAATACTTGTTGATAAAAAATTAACACATATAATTATGTCCATCTTATATATTTTTATAGCTTATTAAAGTCTAAATGGACTGTTATTAATTTAGAATAGCTTGTTGTTTATACACTTGTTTTATTAGACTTGTACTTTTAATTATCAACATCAAGTATTCAATTAGTTTTTGACAATAACTCATTTGAAATTAACAACTGTCCATTTAAGTTTTAAAAAGCTAGAAAAATAAATAAGATTGGCATAATTGAATGTATTAATCTTTCATCAACAAGTATCCACTTAAGCTATAACAACTCTTTATTTTAAATTAACAACAGTTTATTTGAGTTTTAATAAGTTAAAAATGAATAAAATGAGCTTAATTATACAGGTATTAATCTTTTATCAATAAGTATACGTTTAGATGCTCATAACAATTCATTTGAAATTAACAATTATTTATTGGGTTTTAATAAGTTAGAAAAATTGATAGAATAAACTTAATTTTATGTATTAGTCTTTCATCAACAAGTATTTATTTAAGTTTTAACAATAGCCTATTCATGATTAACAATAATACACTCAAACTTTTAATAAGTAAAATGTATGATTAATAATACACCGGTATGCTATAAAATGAAAGTAATTAGAAGCTTGATTCACTACTTTTATATATATATATATATATTGTCATCTATGATTAAAAGGTTTGGTAGCCAGGCTACCAAGCTTTTTAGATGATTAATGCATCATGGATTAGACCCTCCCTTTGCCACTTAAACCAATTATTAATGAATAAAAATGTTATTGATGCCAGAGCTCCAGTGATTGATCGCTAGCAACAAGGGCTTTGGTGACCTTACTACAAACAAGGAGTTAAGTGGCTGGTGTTAGCAACAGTGGGGGTGGCTTTTTTTTTTTTACTTTAAAGGTAATTTGGTCTTTTGACATAATAAATTAATATCAATCAAGTACTAAGAATTATAGCGTAATGTTAAAGTTAGTTGTTCTTTAACTGATATAAATTTAGTACAATGGCCCTTAGCTACTGTTTTTGCATATTTTTAAGTGTTTGCATAACTATTCATCCCTTTGTTATCTTCAAAAGTAAACAACATGAACTCTCCTAGTTGGTGGCTTTGGGTTAGGATCCTTTTGAGTTGAATTAGAGTAAGTAATTCAGGCGGCTCAAGTTTATTCAAGTCGAGCTTATTTAGATTGAGTTTAAAGTATCACACCTAATCTAAAAGGCCTATATAACTAAGCCCAACCCTAACACTTTCTGGTTTCGGATTTATTTTGGTCGACTAGAATATTCAAAACTTTTTAAAAATATTTTTTTCTATTTTTTAACCAATTTTAATTTTTAAGTAATTCTATTAAGCATAAAATATTATTTTAAATTTAAAAAAATAACTTATCAATTTTATACTTAAGTAACTATGTTCTTGTTTTATTATATTATGTGTAATTTATTCATTACTATTTCATTTACTTGTAAATTAATCTTTTAGTTATTTAAATATTGCTCTTATCATAATCATATATAAATATTTTATATATTTTAATTAAATTATATTATTTTAATTATAATCAAGTTGACCTCAATTCAATCATGATTAAACTACTAACTTAAAATCATTACCCTGATTGGCTCAAAATTTTTAATAACTTTTAGATAAACTTTACTTTTTATTTTTAAAAATATGAGAAAAATAATCATTATTATATTATATAAAAAAAATCATTTAAGTAAGTATAAAATGCTAGTTTTTTTATTTTTTTATTTTTATATTGTTTAACCCCTATTTACAAGAGGTATTTATTCTAGTTTATTTTTAACTTTTAATTAAGTATGGCGACAATGATAACTATATAATTATTTAAAATATTATTCTATTAATTATATTTATTAGTAGTAAACTGAGAATTTGTACATGCATGAATTTTATTTTTAAAATTATTTTTAATTTAATTTTTACTTTAAAATTAATTATATTATTTTATAAAAATAAAAAATATATTTTTTATTTACTCAAATGATGTATAGGACTCAATTTTTTTAACAAAATAATTGGGTCTTAAGATATAAAAATCAATATTAAAATATATTTTAAATATTATTTTGAGATATTTTATGATTAAAAATAATAAAAATATGAAAATATAAATATTTTTAATTTTTTTAAAAAATAACTATAACAATACACTTAAATATATGGTATTTAGCATAAAATGACATAAAAATTAAATAATTAATTAATATTTATTATATTTTATATATTTTTAAAAACTTAAAGAATTAATTAATATTTATTATATTTTTAACAATATTATTTTTTATTAAGGTATTCGGCTGGCCTAGACATTAAAAAATATTTTTTTTCTCAATCTTAAATTTTTTATGCGGGTTCAAACTAGCTCATTAAGTTTAACTTAAGTTACCGACTCTAAGTTGATTACAAAAAATTATAGCATTATGCTACCTTGAAATCCATAAGGGCAAATAGCTAACGTCATTTCGTAATTGAGAGAGTTGACACATTTATACGTTGTCTCTTATGGCGTCAATGGCAACCTTGCCTCCAACCTGCTCGGACATAATCCTTGATTAATTTCACACAAATAAATTCAGTGTCTCAGCTTTAAAATAAATAACAAAGAATAACAGCGCAAAGTTAACGTCTCCACATTGGGTTAGTAAATTGGGTTAGTGTAGGAGATCTTAACACACGTTTCTTTCATAACTCAACTAAGATACGGAGGCCAAGAAACCAAATTGTGAGTCTTCGTGACTTGGCGGGTCAATGGTATGAATTTGAAAATGAAATTGCTAAGCTTATCTCTGATTTCTATCAGGAATTATTCACAAGGAGTCAAATACAAGATCTAGATTTGGTACTATCTTATATTCAACCACGTATTTTTGAATCTCAAAACAATTGGCTAATATCCTCAATCACAAAGGAAGAGTTAAAGCAGGCAATCTTCCAACTTGGAGCCACCAATGCACCGGGGCCTGATGGCTTCAATGGACATTTCCACCAATCTTCTTGGGAAGTGGTTAATGACACCCGTTATCTCCTTGTTACTAATATTCTGTTTAAGGATGAAGATCCTGGCTGCATAAATGAAACAAACCTGACTCTCATTCCAAAAATTGAAAGCCCTAAAATGGTGGGGCAATTTAGACCTATAAGCCTATGCAACTTTGCTTTTAAAGCCCTCTCTAAAATCTTGGCCAATTGTCTTAGGGGAGTGTTGAATGACTGTGTCTCTTTGAATTAACGTGCATTTGTTCTTGGGAGACTCATTCATGATAATATCATTTTGGTTCATGAAGCCTCTCACTATCTAAAGCTTAAAAGAACCAGTCTTGATTGTTATTTCACTTTTAAGATAGACATGAACAAAGCCTGACAAGCTAGAATGGAAGTTTATATAAGCTGTCCTTTTGAAAATAAGTTTTTATGCCACTTGGGTCAAATGGATTATAAAGTGTGTAATGTGTCTTGCTTTTCATATTCAGGTTTTTGAAAAAACCGGGACTACTATTAAGCCTGAAAGAGGAGTGAGGCAAAGGATCCCCTATCTCCCACTTCTTCATTATTGCTAGTGAGGTTCTACCTCAAATGTTGAGTGCACATTCTAAAAATGGAGACATCACAGGCATCAAGATCACTGATGATCGCCTAATTGTGACCCATGAATGTTTGATGATGATACAATCTTGTTCCTTCATGTTGATAGAAAAAATTATAGCATCATAAAAGAGCTCCTTCAATCCCATTGTAATGCTCCAGGTTAGAGAATAAATTTTAACAAATCCTCTCTATTTTTCTCTACTAATTCCCCGCAAGCTATTAAGGATGAAGTTTATTCTTTTTTACATGTGACTGGTATGGATAATCCAAGCTCCTATCTAGGGCTCCCAATATTGTGGAGAAGATCAAAAGTTGCTGCATTAGCTTATGTTCGGGATAGAGTGGGTAAGAAAGTTCATGGTTGGAAAAGCAAATTTCTCACATTTGCTAGATGTGGAATAATGATTAAGTCAGTAGTGAATTCTATCCCCATCTTCCCTATGACTTGTTTCAAATTTCCTAAAAGAACCTATACTGAGCTAAATAGTCTTGTTGCTAATTTCTTTTGGGTCAATCTGATTCTAGGAACAATATTCATTAGAAAGCCTGGGGTAAACTTTGTGCCACAAAAGCTGATGGAGGACTCGGTTTTCAAGATTTCATGAATTTTAATGATGCATTGCTGGCCCAAATAGCCTAGAGTACTTCAGATCCCTTATGAACACTGGGTCAAAGTTCGTAAAGCTCTACACTTCCCTTTCTGTTCCTTCCTTCATGCTAGTCAAGGTCCCAAGGCATCTTGGGCTTAAAGCAGCATCTTAACAGGTAGGGATTTGCTTCTTCAAATATTTGCTTCAAGCTGGAAACTGATTGAGATATAAGAGTGGTCTGATCCATGAATCCCAGAACTACCTATGTTCAAAGCCGTAAAATCTAATGATCTTAATTTTGACAAGGATATAATAATGGCTAATATTATTTTTCATGGGTTATTGAGTTTACAGTCGATACAAGATTATGCCACTGCTGCAACCCTTGATTGTATTAGGAAAATTTATATCCCTACTAATCCTTCCATTGATATTGCTGTATGGACAGGTGCTAAAAATGGGAAGTACTCTTCTAAGTTGGGTTATAGGCTCGAGTATGGGAGACAGCATCCCACTATGCCCAATAATCCTAGCTCTTCTTCAGGCTTCCCTAAGCATATATGGCAACATGTTTGGAAGCTTAATATCCATCCAAAAGTAAAACATTTCCTTTGAAGAGCATTATGTGGAGCTTCAGCAACCAAAGAGGCCTTATACTTGAGAAGCTGCGCAACAGATCTCCTTTGCCCCATTTGCGGCCTAATGCTTCAAAAGATTGAACATTTATTATTGCTTTGTGAATTGTCAAAGAAAATGTGGTTTAGATCCCCTCTTTCTCTCCTTATGGACCCTAAGCAAATATCCTCTTTTGGCAACTGGTGCTATTCTTTTCTGGCCAACAATAGTATCCTTGATGACTATGATAAAGCATATATTGCTTGTATGTGTTGGAATATATGAAAAACCAAATCTACATTAATTTTTAATGTTGCTGCTATTAATCCCATACAAGCCATTTCCTCTACTAACGTTGTAGTGGAAGAATTTTGGCGAATCAATCATAAAACTCAGATGAACGATTCTATTGAAGTGCAGACAAAAGCTGGTTGGGATCCCCTTATTAGTGGTGTCGCTAAGATAAACTGTGATGGTGCCTATTTGCAATCTTCCAAGAAAGCAGCAATGGGTGTTATTGTCAGAGATGGTTCTAGAAATTTCTTAAGAGGGTGGAGAGAGTCGATGGAGGTAGATTTTGTTTCAAGTTTGAACTTATGGCCTACTTTAAAGCTGTTCAAGTGGCCTCCGATTTTTTTAATTCTCACGCAGTAATTGAAATGTATTGCTTAGATTTATTCAATACTGTTTCTTGAAAGGACTCTTCTTGCTCTTGGCTTTATCCAGGGATTCTTGAAGATTTGTTTGTTAAGCTTGATTCCTTGAACTCTATTTCTTTCTTGTTTGTCAAACGAGAAGGTAACTCTGCTACTGACTGGTTAGCAGCCTCCTCTTTAAAGGGTGTAGACTCAGGTGGTTGGATTCTCGACCCTCCACCCCTCTTTTAGCTATTTTACTTAAAGATTCAGGCAATTCCAAGCAATTCTTCCAACAACCAGTGATCCACAGGGATCATGAAGGCATCGGCTAATTGGTCTTTGTTTATTTCCTGTGCTGTGTTTTCTTCTCAAGTCTTTGCCTTTGGGCTTATGACTTCTCTTGTTTCTTTGATTTGCCTTGTCTTTGTTCTTGTTTCGGTTTGTAAACTCTGGCCTTTTGCCTTTGAATGGATGCATTTTCTGCTGGTGGTCAAAAAAAAAAAAAACGTCTCCACATACTTTGCGGGAGAAATGGTGCAGAAATTCCAGAATCTCCGAGAATTCAGGTCTCAAGGAAGGGTCTTGGTGCCAGCAACGGTTAAGCAACTCTGCTATCCCTGGATGCGTATGCCTCGGAATTTCGGGCCTCAAACCCTGAAATTCACAATACAAGAAAATCTTAATCTTTATAACCTGGCAACTTTAATACATATTCACCAACCGCACACGTCCTCTCGGAAGAGAAAAGGATATCGGATAAGTGTGTGTGTATATATATATTGCCAAAGAATAAAATACCTTCCGGACCACTCCAACTGCTGCTTGCAATGGTGACAAATGCTCGCAACGAAGCCGCTTCAGTCCAAAAACCATGCATAATAGGACTCGTAAATCTGTCCGACCCTATCTAATTGGAAAGTGGAAACAGCACAATAACAAGCATCTCAAATACACCTCCTTCCTCTCCCGTGGCCCTTTTCGTTACTTTAAATCCATTTTTAATCACTTTGCCCAGTTCAACTCTCTTTTGTTGTTGCAACTATTAATTTAAAATGGGATTGAACCCAAAATGAGTTTCAAAATTGACATGTAATTTACATGTATATAAACATTGGCAGGAAACCTCCCTCTACTTGCTTCACTTTCAGGAAATAATCCAAGTGCGGTTGAATCTATGTGTGGGCAACCTCAAGGCTAGACTGAGCTCATCTTGAGCTCCATTACTAGGAAGTCATACCGCGAAATACTTTGCCAGACTACAACCCTGCTGAAATCTAAGGGTAATATCTAAGCTATATATATTTTTAGTTTTAAATTTCGAAAGCAACCCAGGATGGCCTTGTTTATATAAGTCCATGTCTGTCACGAAGCTTGCTCGACATAACCGGAAAAAAAGCTTTGAATGTGATCAAGTAACCATTCTGCCACTTCTCTTTTGAAGAAGGATGAGGGAAGGCAGTTTTACAACGTGAACAAGAAAACAAGAATGGGGGAAGATATACAAAGAGCATTACCTTTCACGTGAGCAGCTCCTACAGAGTAATTCCAAAGCTGAACACATCGGCTTTGTGATTATATGGTTTATGTTCAATAAACTTCCAAATATCAACCGAATCACAGGTTATAATAATCGACCTATTGTGAGGTAAAAGCAACAGTATATCACTTCCTTCTTCCTTGCAACCACGTGGAACATGCTAGGGTCAAAGCGATGTAAGTTTTGGGTTCAACCAACCGAAAAGAATGAATTCTGAGAGGAAGGTCAAACCCTTGCAGTCCACTCTTGTCTTCTATTTAGAATGCTTCAACACATTTTACCAAAAAATCTTCAACATTGTCATTACCCTTATGCAATGCACAAAAGCAACCCAAAAAAGGTAAACAGTCATGACAATTATATAGCTTTCAAAATAAGCTTTATTCTGTTCTGTCAATGTTTATCCTAGGAACACACACAATTCCACCTTTCACATCCTTTACTTATGCTCTCAATTCTCAAGTCTCCCTACCCTTAGATGATTTAACAAAGAGGTACTCCCTCTGTTTCTAATTATAGGAGCCTTTTTGCAACTTTGAGTTGTTTCCTTTTATAAGACCATTTCCAATTGTCTACTTTATATATTACTTTTGATAAAATTGCCCCTCTTAAAACAGGTGTTCCCACGTTAATTAATTAGGAAAGAGAGAGAAGGGGTGAAAATACATTAAGGGGTATTTTTGGAAAGTTGATGCCAATTATTGACAAATTCATTGACATTTCTTAATATTTGCGAAGTAGTTAAAAGGCTCTTATAATTAGGAATGAAAGGAGTATAGCTTAATAGCTAATCCCCTAAACCCAAAATAATAGAACTGATAATAATAGTAGCAGCAGCATCTGATAACAATAAAGAAATTATCACGAAGCATTATACATTATACTCAGGTTTGAGACCCACCTCTGGAGCCATCCATCTATAGGTTCCAGTTTCTGCAGTCACAATGCCTGACTGATCTTCCACTCTTGCTACGCCAAAATCAGCAACCTTGCTAGAATGTTCAAGTAATCACTAATAGACATAAAAAACCTAAGCAAATCTCAAAGTAGGTGGCACAAAATATAACCTATTACCCTGTTCTCATCCATCAGAAGATTTGCAGTTTTGAGTTCCCTATGTATGATGTCATTCTGATACAAATAATTCATTCATTCACCAACATTGATTACTACTATGAGCAACGATGGGAGAGTCAGTACAGCCTTCTGTACGTGCAGAAACTCATACGGACTTCCACCAAATATGTATTCTGAGGAAAAAAACAAGTTTTATGTAATTATTGTATTGAATTTGACAATATTGTATTCATTATATTCGTCTTTCAATCAATCCAATTTAATTTAAACATAATATAAAAGATCTTAAGAAGCGTGGTGAAGGAGAACAAAATTTGTCATTCTATCGAAAAATACGTGATAAGGAGGTAAAGGAAGCTCTTAAGAAAATGGCAAATGGTAGAGCTAACGGACCTGATTGTATATCTATCGAAGCGTGGAAATGTTTAGGTGAAGAAGGGGTGAGATGGTTAACTAAGTTATTTAATGTGATTTTACGGTCCAAGAAAATGCCTGATGAGTGGAGGAGAAGTACATTAATTCCTATTTATAAAAATAAAGGAGATATTCAGAATTGTACTAACTATAGAGGGATTAAACTCATGAGCCACACAATGAAATTGTGGGAGAAAGTAATTGAGCACAGGTTGAGATTGGAGACAAGTATTTCTGAGAATCAATTTGGTTTTATGCCAGGTAGATCAACTACAGAGGCGATTTATCTACTAAGGGGATTAATGGAAAAGTATCGTTGTAAAGATAAAGATCTACACATGGTTTTTATTGATTTGGAAAAAGCTTATGACCGTATACCAAGAGAAGTGCTTTGGAAAGCGTTGGAAAAAAAGGGAGTACGGATTGCTTATATTAAAGCCATACAAGATATGTATGAGGGGGTAAAAACTAGTATAAGAACGCCTAGTGGTCAAACAAAGGATTTTCCTATAAAGATTGGACTACATCAGGGATCATCTCTGAGTCCTTATTTGTTCAACTTGATTTTAAATGTTTTGACGGAACATATTCAAGAGGAAATCCCGAAATGTATGCTCTTTGCGGATGATATAGTTCTTATAGCAGAGACAAGAGAAGAGGTTAATTGCAAACTTGAGTTATGGAGGAGGACATTGGAGTCGAAAGGTTTTCGTCTGAGTAGAAGTAAGACGGAATATTTATATTGTAAATTTGGTAAAGGACTATTCGAAAATAATTTCGAAGTGAAATTGGGAGATCAAATTATACCTCAAGTGGAAAAGTTTAGATATTTGGGAGCCATTATTCAAAATGATGGCGAAATCAGTGGAGATATTTCACATAGAATTCAAGCTGGGTGGTTTAATTGGAGAAAAGCTAAAGGAGTTATTTGTGACCGTAAGGTGCCTAATAAACTTAAAGGAAAGTTTTATCGTACTGCTATCAGACCGGCAATGTTATATAGTAGTGAATGCTGGGCTCTAACGGGACAGCAAGAGCATAAAGTTGGAGTAGCAGAGATGAGAATGTTACGATGGATGTGCGGACATACACGTAAAGATAAAATTCGAAATGAGCACATACGTGAAAAAGTGAGGGTGGCACCTATTGAGGAAAAAATGGTAGAAAATCGGTTGAGATGGTTTGGGCATGTACAAAGAAGACCAAGGGAGGCACCAGTGAGAAGAGTGGAACATATAACTTTGAGTCCGATTAAGAGAGGTAGAGGAAGGCCTAAGAGAACACTCTTGGAAGTTGTTGAACGTGATCTCTTAATTAATAATATTTCTAAAAGCTTAATAAATGATAGAGCACAATGGCGTCTTGCAATCCATGTAGCCGACCCCACCTAGTGGGATAAAGGCTTGTTGTTGTTGTTGTTGTATAATATAAAAGATCTAATGAACCAACCTGTTCATAAGCTATAAATCATGCAATTTATTTTTTAGACTTCAGGTAATGCACATGGTCCACACTAATAACAACTAATATAAATGATTAATGAGCATCCTAAACCTTAAGCTATTACGTGAATAGCATGATGGATCCTAAACTCCTGAAATATGTAAAAACTCTCATCAACTTCAAAATTTCGAGCATCTAAAATCTCGCCATTAAGTTAGAAAAAACGGTCATTACCTTTGTTTTAGCTATAGGGCCTAGTCTCATGCTGATGTGTTACTCATCTTGACCCTTAAAAATAACTCCAACTTACTGGTTGGGTTTTGATAGGTGCTCAAAATAACTAAAATAAGAATAACTCTATTAGGATGATATAGAACAAGAATCTCCTTCTATATTTCTCTTAATAGCCACGCTCAGGAGAATCTTCAAAGGGTTTAAAAGACTATTTTATTGATAAACTGATATGATAGCTTTTAAGTTGCTAGTCATATTTATAATGCTAAATACAATCTAAAATAATGGATAAAATCTAGATAACTAGATAACTAAATAATATCTCCTATAATCTAAAATACTGAATAAAATCTAAATAGATAAACTACTAGATCTAAATAAAATCTAAAGAATAAAATCTGACTAAATAAAATACTAAATCTAAAGAAATATAAAATACTGAGCAAAATAAACAATAAAATCAATCTGAATTTATCTTTTGACGCTTTCTTCTTGAATAAGTCTTCATGGGAATATTATCTAGAATCTTATCATTACCCTTCCCTTGAAAACTCAACTTGTCCTCAAGTTGAAAGGAGGGAAATTGAGTGTGCAAGAGATCGTAGTCCTCCCAGTTGGTCTCTTCCATAGGTCGGTCATGCCATTCTACCAATAGTTCAAGCGATTGATGACGAGTCCATCGGTGATCTAAGATTCGGTGAGGCCTTACATGTAACTCAAAATCAGCAGAAAGCGGTAAGGGGGCGGGTGTGAGTGGTGGATCTATCCCTGTAGCCTGGCGCAAAAGAGAGACATGGAAGATAGGGTGAATACGAGCCTCTGCCGGAAGTTCCAATTCATAAGCCACTTTGCCAATCCTATGAAGAATCTTGTACGGGCCAAAGAAGCGAGGTGATAATTTTTCAAACTTTCGCTTGGTAAGCAATTGTTGGCGAAAAGGCTGTACTCGTAGCCACACAACATCGCCAATATTGTACTCAACTTCCCGCCAATGCTTGTCAGCGTAAGCCTTCATTCGATCTTGAACCTTACGCAAATCGTCCCTCAGAAGCTTGAGCATTGCATCTCTGGTCTCTAGTTGTTCTTCTAGTTCAGCCACAGGTGTTTCACCTTTTATATAAGGAAGTAGGGGAGGAGGATCTCGCCCATAAACCAACTTGAAAGGAGAATGGTTGGTTGATGTATGATGACTTGTGTTGTACGAGTATTCAGCCTAGCAAAGAAATTTGTGCCAAGACTTGGGTTGCTCATGTGCAAAACACTGCAGATAGGCTTCCAAACCGCGATTGACTACCTCTGTTTGACCATCTGTTTGGAGATGGTAGGCAGTACTCATCTTTAACTTAGACTGGCTTAATCTAAATAATTCTTGCCAGAAGGAACTCATGAAGATAGGGTCCCTATCAGAGATGATTGAGCGAGGTACCCCATGTAGTCGGATAATTTCCTCACAAAAGATTGTGGCCACCTTCTTAGCAGTGTAAGGGTACGCGAGAGCAAGAAAATGAGCATACTTACTCAACCGATCCACTACTACTAAGATGACCTCAAAACTGCCAGACTTTGGAAAACCTGTGATAAAATCTAGTGAAACGTCCTCCCAAATCTGCGATAGGTAAAGGTTGAAGAAGTCCAGCTGGTGCCAACGTTTGGTACTTATTTTGCTGACAAGTGGCACAATGTCGCACATAAGCCTTCACATCTGCTTTCATTGCAGGCCAATAGAAATTCTCCGAAAGGCGTTTAAATGTTTTAAGAAAGCCGCCATGCCCCCCAATAGTAGTCGAATAGGCTTCTGCTAGTAATTTTGGTCGCAATTGTGATGAATAAGGAATGACCACTCGGTTATCATAGAAAAGCTTTTGATTAACTAGGTGAAATCTAGGTCGGGATGACGGATCTTTCTGCAAAGCTTGCATTATTTCATTAGTGAAGGGATCCGATGCCAACTCAAGGGAGAGATTATCCAACTCAGGAGCAAAAGGTACGGCCAATTGAAAAAAATCTGCATGCTGTGGACGTCTTGACAATGCGTCTGCCCTTTTATTTTCTACTCCTACCTTGTGGATGATAGTAAAATTAAAGGGTAAGAGCTTGATGATCAACCTCTGTTGAGTGTTAGTAGTAATTCGTTGTTGTAATAGATATTGAAGGCTAGCATGATCCGTTTTGACAAAGAAGTGCCTCCCTAAGAGGTAATGGAGCCATTTTTGTACTGCAAGCACTAGAGCTAGGAGTTCACGATCGTAAGTGGACTTGAAGCGGTTAGAGAAAGAGAACCCTTTACTAAAGTAAGCAATGGGATGGTTGTTTTGCATAAGTATAGCTCCAATCCCATCCGTAGATGCATCGCATTCAACTATAAAGTCCTCCTCAAAATTGGGCAACTGTAAGACGGGTGCCCTCACCAGTGCACATTTAAGGTTGTCAAAGGCCTTTTGAGCTAGTTCAGACCATAAGAAGGCATCCTTCTTAGTCAATTCAGTAAGGGGTCGCGCAATAATCCCAAAATTCCTTACAAAACGCCGGTAATATCCTGCAAGGCCTAAAAACCCATGTAACTCCTTTACATCGTTAGGAATAGGCCATTCACGTACTGCCTCCACCTTTTCAGTCTCAACTTCAACTCCCTGGGCAGAAATTTGGTGCCCTAAAAAGGGAACTTTTGGTTTCCCCATAAAGCATTTTTTCAAATTGACACAAAACGCATTTTCCTGGAGGGTTTGTAAGATGATACGCAAGTGAGCTCAGTGCTGTTGAAAAGAGGGACTATATATTAAAATATCATCAAAGAAGACCAGCACAAATTTTCTCAAATAAGGACGAAATAAGTCGTTCATAGCTGCTTCAAAAGTCGCTGGGGCATTGGTTAAGCCGAAAGGCATAACTGTGAATTCATAATGCCCTGAATGAGTACGAAATGCTGTTTTGTAAATATCCTCGGGTAGCATCCTGATTTGGTGGTATCCAGAATGTAAATTCAATTTGGAAAAATAGATTGCCCCGTGTAATTCATCTAGTAACTCATCAATGTTGGGAATTGGATACTTGTCTGGAATTGTAATGCCGTTTAATTTTCGATAGTCAACACAGAATCGCCACGAACCATCTTTCTTTGCGACCAATAAAACTGGACTGGCAAATGGACTTGAGCTAGGCTGAATAAACCCCTTTTTAAGTAACTCCTCAACTTGCTTTTCAATCTCGGCCTTTTGATAATATGGATACCTGTAGGGTCGTAAATTGGGAGGGTTGGCCCCTGGCAGTAGGGGAATGGCATGTGAGTGATTTCTAAAGGGTGGTAAGTTTGAAGGTTCTTCAAACACATGGAAATTCTGCAAATAAAGATTCTGGATTGAAACATTGAAAAGGTGTAGAGTTAGCAGAAGCTTCTATTTGTTGCATTGAATTAAATTGAGCACCACTAGTAGCATTAGGGACTCCCTGTAATTTATACCGCTTGCCATTCAACCAAAAAATCATAAAGAGTTCATTCCAGTTGGCTTGCACCGTATTCAGAGATGCTAGCCACTTAATGACCAGCACCAGATCGGCTCCTCCCAAGGAAAAAGGGAAAAATCTTCCTTAATAGTCAGTTTTGTGAGCTTAACTCTCACATCTCTGCATACTCGATTGCACCGTACAATACTGCTATCCCCAATTTGGACTCCAAATGCAGAAATATAATGAGTAGGAAGACGCAGTTCTTGTACCAATGAGTTTGATATAAAATTATGAGTAGATCCACTGTCCACTAATAATAGCACTTCTCTTGTAAGCAACGTGCCTTTAAGTTTCATAGCTAACCCTGTGTTGCTACCCAGTATAGCATTTAATGAAATTTCTGCCCCTTCTGTCCTTATTTCCTCGAGTTCACCATCTTCAAGAGGAAGGGCAACCTCATCGCCTTCCTCCGTAATCTCCATGAGGGAGAAGGATCCCCAGCAGCGGTGCCCAGGCCGAAAAAGGTCACCGCATCGGAAGCACAGCCCCTTGTCTCTCCTGCGTTGGTGTTCGAAATCCATGGAGGAGTTTTTGGTCGACGCTACGCTGGCTGATTTGGGTCCCAATGGCGTTGATATCCTCTACGAAGACGTCGAGAAGGTAACTTCAGCGTATTTCGGGTCACGTGCCCCAGGTATGCTGGAGTTAGGATAGTGGGTTTGGGTCTGGATCAAGCTGGGTCTCGTCCGGGTAAGCTGCGTTTTGCTTTCGATCTTCAGAGCCAAACTTACTGCTCTATAAACTGATCGTGGTTTATGGATTCTGACATCTGATCGTAATTCTTCTTTTAACCCATTCAGAAAAACGCCGAGCAAGCAGTGCTCCGGCCAATTCTTGACTCTCGACGATCGTTTGGCGAACTTTGTGCGATATTCCTGAACTAAACCTTCTTGCCTAATGCTGCAAAGAAATTCATCCGGATTTTGGTATTCAAGTAGTCCGAAATTCTCTTGGAATGCTGTCACAAGCTCGTCCCAGTAGTTGAGTGTTCGTTCATGACTGATCCATGCGAACAGTTCTAATGCGTCACCCTCCAGTGCCAGTGAGGCTACGTCCACCTTCTCTTCTTCAGGTGTGTTGTAATACTTAAAGTACTTCTCAGCCTTTAAGATCCATCCCCGTGGATCACCCCCACTAAACTTTGGGAATTCAATTTTGGTGCGATGAAATCTGGTGCGCTTGCGATTTTCTTGCTCGTCTTCGCTCTCTTCATCTTCATAATAGTGTCTGCGGCATGCTTCTCCAAGTTTCTTGTTTTTATTGATTGTTGAGGCTTCGAGTGCTTCTACCTTTTCTTTTAATAAATCAAGAGTTTCGAGTTGCTGCGCGATTTTGGCCAAATGATCTGACATAAGTGAATTTGGATTTTCTGGGTCATTGTTGGACGAATTGTCAGAAGGGTTGGTTTCTTGGCCAGTACGTGTGGTAACCATGGCTCTGATGCCAAATTGATAGGTGCTCAAAATAACTAAAATAAGAATAACTCTATTAGGATGATATAGAACAAGAATCTCGTTCTATATTTCTCTTAATAGCCATGCTCAAGAGAATCTCCAAAGGATTTAAAAGACTATTTTATTAATAAACTGATATGATAGCTTCTAAGTTGCTAGTCATATTTATAATACTAAATACAATCTAAAATAATGGATAAAATCTAGATAACTAGATAACTAAATAAAATACTAAATCTAAAGAAATATAAAATACTGAGCAAAATAAACAATGAAATCAATCTGAATTTATCTTTTGATGCTTTCTTCTTGAATAAGTCTTCATGGGAATATTATCTAGAATCTTATCAGGTTTCAGATGTTCAGAATTTAGAAGTTAAAGGGAGTTTTTGCACATTTCAGGAATTTAGGATCTAGGATACTATTCTCATAATAGTTTAAAATTTAAAATGCTCATTAACCCAACTATAAAATATAATATCAAATGAATCCATAAACAGAAACTGTTACCTGTGACATTGAACAGGTCTGGAGGTTTTGTGCTGGCCCCCACAAATTTGACAACATTCTTGTGACACACTTCACCGCAAGATTCAATTTATAAACGAGAACCATCAGCATTCCCATCAATAGGCTACTGATTATATATTTCACTCTGCAGAGAGGCAGCCACAAGGAAAAGGTGGATTGTGATGAATTTAATAAAAAATGAAGAAAATAATACTTTGAATCCCTGTACTTTATTCAGGTTTTGGTATAGGTCTCTATACTTTTTTTTCGATGTTCCAGGTTCCTATACTCTCTTCTGTCTGCAACGTTGACAAGGCACAAACAATGTTAAAAATATTGATATGTCAATTAACACTATTAATTTTGTGCTTACGCGTCAGGTTGATGCAAATATGAAATTTTTAATGAGCAATTTTTTTTAAAAAAAAAAAAAGACTACATGGAATTTGTGTGTTTTTGCTTATCATTTAACAAGTCCAAGGTCAACTGTTTTATTTCATTTGATGTAGACTTTTTTAAAATTTTTGCTTATTAAAAAATTCCAAGTCAGCATCAATTTGACAAATGAGCATAAAATTAATGATGTTAATTAACATGTCAGCATTATTAACACCATTTATGCCACATCAACATCCCTCTGTAGATGAAGGATAGTGTAAGGACTTTGAACACCGAAAATAAAGTGCAAGGACCTAAACCAAAACTCAAGTAAAGTGTAGGGATTAAAAGTAGTGTTTTTCCTCTCTCTGTGTGTGATGAAAGAGTAATGATGGAACAAACCTCAGAATATAGACCTCTTGAGCAAAGTCCTTTTGTATACTTTCATTCAGATTCTCAGCCTTGGGAACTTTGAAAGCCACTTCTTGGTTACAGAAAGCACCTTTATACCTGTGTCAACTAACAGGTCATTCAACATGCATTGACTCTTAAACAGACCTTCCAAAAAAAAGAAGAAGAACATTACTCACAAATTAGAGAAAGGTCCGGATGCAATTTTTCTTTCATATTTCAAACAGCTTGCATCAATTTCCCAGGCAGCACTTCCACTTAAAGGTAGATTCATTGATCCTGATTTGTCCTTGCTCTGCAGTTTGACTGCCGATTTTCTTGAAGGAAGGCTGAATCTGGATTTCCACCCAAAACATCCAACTAAGTAAGGATGCCCTGCTAAAAGCCAAAGGTGGGGGGCAGACATGCGAGCAACAATCAATTTTCAGCTAAGCACAAAAGGCTAAAATTAATCTGGAATATTTGAGAACTTAGCGCACGCGCGCATTGCCCACTAATTCGATCCAATTTATGTGAAAATGAAAAAAAAATACCTCCATACAATCAAACACGGGAAAAAAAATCGATCATATCTTTGTTGAAGGGGACGCTGTAACAAGTGGGAAGTGAAGGGCCTACCTCAAGTTTCTGAATTATTTTTTTTGTCAGCACATGTTTAAGCTTCTCAGTCTCCTACAAGGTTTAGGATGTAAATTATTCAAGTAACTTTTAATGCATAGAAAGGGATGAAAATAGAGTTCAATAGAAAATTGAAAAACTGGAAGGATGGTAGATGCATTTGACTAAAAACAAATGCCTTAGATTCTAGAAAAGGACGCTCTTAAAGTTTCAGTTTAGTAAGACGAGCTAATTTTCTTCCCAATCAGTTCTCAAAAGATTGAACAAGCCAGAAAAAGAGGGAAAGTACGTCAACAGGTCAACCAACAACAACAAAAACATCCAACGAATAACCATCCAATGTTGAAAAAGCATGCGCTTATTGGATATTTAACCCAGTTTCAGACAGTAGGGAAGTCAACTGCATGGCTAATTGCTAGCATAGTGAGAACGAATGAAAGCCAAAGGGGTGAATTTATTACTCACATCTTATTCTGCTATACCTTATTTATTCTCTTGTTGATAAGTTTGATATCACTGCCCTGTAATTATATTGCTCAAATTACTTTAATTGTGTCAGACGCTTATAATGAATGCACGCATATGCTTATACAGAAAGATGCATAGCACGAAACATTAGAAGATAATAAAAGATGTGAACTTCACATTTCAATCAAATATTATCTTAAATGACATAAATCCTTGATCACGCTCCAAAAATTCAGAAGCTAGATGCATCACAACTGTTAGGACTATGCATGAATATAAAATACGGGTTTTACATGAAAGCTAAGAAATATTTGCACAGCAATCAAGGTCAGCTACCTGACTTAGAAGGTTTGGCATGTCGTTTGTTGATATCGTGATCTCATGCATTGGTCTGCCATTTCATTTAATAGTTTCAAGAAACCGATAAAGAGCAATAAGTATTGTAAGCAATCACAATAATAATATGATGAGTATGACACCTCTTACAGCGATCAGAAATAGAGATTAGAAAGGAGGGGAAATATGATGGTCATAGAACAGATACGTAGAAGAATTAGAAAGTATACAATCATCATCGAAGTTTTACTGGGAATAATGGGTGTAGAATTTCAAATTGTCACCGTCAGCTCGAATTCGAAACTGTCTTGCTTCAAGAGCAAGTTCAAAGTTAGCTGAGGAACCAAAGGCTGGAGCAGGATGGATGATGAAACCCATGAAAAAGAAGCAGTAAGTACGAATAATGCAGAAAGTACAGAGAGGAAATGTAGAATGCCAAATAAATGTATTCAGCGATTCAAATATTAAAAATCATGCCTCATGTTGCCTGGAATATGAGAATCTTGAGGACAGACATTTCTTTGCGTGTTTGAATGAAGAGAATCACTGGAATTCACAGTTCACACCAGAAGCTGAACGACCCTGCATAAAAGATATATCGCCAAGATCTAGCAAATCAATTGGCAAATACAGGTACCAGCAAGGTTGCCATATCCTGGTCAAAAGAAGAAAATCGTCATGATACTACTATTCTACTAAAATCAGAAAATGGCAATCTCCATAAACGGGAACGTGCTATTCGTACTAATTATAAATAACCAAAATAGCGTTGCAGAAGGGAAACTTATTCCTCGTCTTAAAAAAGTGTCACAGTTCACAAGGAGATACACGGGAAGCGTCACGAGCAGGAAAATCTAAGCTCAGAAAATAGAACCGCTTAAATCTACATACAGTATCGAAAACACGGTACAGACTACTCTATGTCTCCATTAAAGATGCAGCGACAAGATGATTAGTTGCTAGTCCAGTGGAGCGTAAATGAAAAGAAAACGATACAAGCATCGAGGGTCAAACTTCATCTGCTACGATTTGTCACATAAATGTAAATTATCTGAACAAGACGGACTTCAACAGCAGGTCTGGTAGCAGGATCATGTGCAATACGCAACAGCCTTTTATGCATAATAACATCTTGAGCTCTCTCCACATTCAAATCCACGGCATACCTATCGCGTGTATAGTTACAAATTACAAAAGGCTCAATGCACAAACAATATAATTCAAAAACCCTTCAAGTCTTGATCGCTTTAAGAAAGCAATGGTAGAGAAAAGAACCAGTAATAGCGATTCCCAAGTGCCCAAGGAAGATATAAAGAGCTTGAAAACCCAAAAAAGAAGAAAAAGAATCAGAATTATGAGTTTTACATCAAGCGATCAATACTAGTTTCGGGTCTCTGAAACACAGTGAGCGACAGGAAAGCGCAGCATTGAAAAGAGTGAGAAGTACCTAGGTGGAAGTCGATAGAAATGCGTCCAGAGGTCATCTGCAAAGGCAGGAACCGCAGCCTCCCGGACATTCAATTCCTTAAGTCCAGTAAGAACCTCGTTTTAAACTTCAACCTTCTGCCTCTGCTTCCGACTATTATTCCGCCGTTTAATATCCGCATGAATCATGCAGGACTTCATTTGAATTAGAAAATATAACAGGCTCGCGATGCAATTAGATGGGGGCAGAAAGGACAATTCGTCAATTGCTTGCACTGGAGTCTTTGTTCTCGTCTTACAAAGCGAAGGTCCATGGCGGGACACAATACGCATCGCAGGGACAGGCGTCGCCTTGGACTTTGAACAAGGCCATTTTACTTTGCTTGTGTCAACTCTTTTGTTCCAAACAACGCAATAAGGCTTCTGTGTGCATATAAATATAATCGCTTCGATAGCATCACCCACCAAACCGTAACCCTGAAACCAGGCTGTGGGCGTACTTTGTTTGAGTCATTTCTCACAACAGTATATGCATCCTTGATATTTCAGAGTCAGATACAAATAGATCTTGACCCGATAAAATAATTTTAAAAAACCACTAAACCGCTTTATCTAATTTTATGGTGCATTTGGCCGGGCAATTATTCCTTATGAAGGAGTCAGAAGATAACTTAATGCTCCTCCCAGCAATTAATAGTTCATTGGCAAATGGTGCTGTCACTTTATTGCCTTGGGTGACCACTAATAAACTTTTAACTTAATTATTTTAATCGCCCGACCAATCAGAAGATGTTCTTTGCTTAAAATAAATTATAAACTCAAATTATAAATTCATAATAATTTATTTTTATTAATAGATCATCATTAAAAATATATAATTAAACAATTAAAATATAAAATATTATGACTTAAATATATTTTAAATATAAATTATTAAAATTAAATCTATCTACATTGATAGATTATCATACAAAACATAAAAATTTTACAATAAGGTAACTTATTTTTCATATCTTTTTCTTTTTTTATTAATATTAATTTTTGCTTTTTAAGTTCTTTTTCTTTTTGAATCAGCTCCTATCACTTCTATAAATTGAGTTCTACATAGTATATATTTAATTTGCTCAACTCGATAAAAAATCAACGAGCTTAATAAGTTTAATTAAATTTATATTTAGTATGAATTTATAAATTAATTGACATGATTTTATAAGTTAAAAATATAAAAATGATAAACTTATTTATAAACTTGTGAGTTTAATCAAGTTTATATTGAATATAAATTTATGAGTTTGGTAAGATAATTTTATAAGTTAAAAATATAAAATTGTTAAATTTAAAAAATCAACTTAAAAGTTTAATAGCCATGCTTATGCTTGTTCTTATCCACCAAAAGTTGGATCAATGCAAGTGTGGTCGTTGACGAGATGTGTAGGATGATGGAAGAAAGCATTTCTAATCACTTCTGTGGGAGGCGATACTGTTAGTTGTGATGTGACACCTATTTTTTTTATTTATAAATTATTTTAACACAATTTATTAAAGTTAAAAAATTATTAAATTTCATTAACTTCCTTTTAAAATTTAATAAATTTTTACGTTTATTTTTAATAAATATTTTTAAATTTTATTATTAATATTTTTATTTAAAATATTTAATAAGAGTAAAAATATAAAAAAAAATATTAAAAATTGATAGGTGTTTTATAAATAAAATTCATTTTTTTTTATTATATAGATAGGATAAGAGAAGTAAGTGTATATGGTTTGGAGCCGATGTTAGACTACGAGTACATGTTGTTAAATGCTACATGTAAACAACGTCGCTGGCGTGGATTACAAAAGAAACTAAGTGCTCTGTTTTTTCCTTTGGTCAATTGTTTAGTGAAATTGTTACAATGAAATTTACGGTTAGATTTATTTTTTTAAAACCATTTTGATAAATTAAAAATTATTTAAATTATATTTAATAAAAAATATTTTTGAATATATAATTACTGAAAATAATATCAATTTATAATTATTTGTAATTTTTGTTATACAAATGCAATGTAATGAAATGTGATATAATGAGAAGTGATTTTAAATGCATAATTACTAAAAAGGATATTAATTTTCTAATATGTAACTTTTTTATATACAAATGATAAAATTTAATATGGTAAGTAATTTAAATAATAACAGAATGCGTGAATAATATAAAAAATTTTATATGTTGAATAATTTATATAATAAAAATAAAAATTTTGTAAATAATATACAATTTTGAATAATAAAAACATTGAATTAAACGCTTCCTATATTGGATTAATTGAGTTGAGTTTTTATTCATGCAAGTTATTCATAATGAAGAGGCTTTTATGACATATGGAGAGGGTGATATGGTAAAAAGATACTCCTTCTATCCTAAATTATAAGACACTTTTGAAGGAGTTTTTTTTGTTCTAAAATATAAGACACTTTAAGTAAATTAAAGTTCATTAAATGCACTAATTTTAATATTATCCTTTCTCTTTTTATAATTAATTTCCGTCTCTTCTTTTTTTAATATATTAAATAATAAATATTTTTAAAAATATATATATTTTTATTTTGAAAAGATAAGGTTGTTGAGTGTATTTAATAAGATTTATTGATATGTGAAATTTTATTTAAAAGTGTCTTATAATATGAGACGGAGAGAGTATCATTTAAGATATTTTGAAGCTTTAACTGACTTTTTCAAATATAAAAGCTACTCCCATTTATGCTGATGAATGGATTTTTTGAAATCAACTTTAAAAAAAAGTGAGAATACCAAACAACTTTGGCTTCTTAATATGCATGAAAATCCTTTCTAAATTGTTAATTGTTAAAAAAACTAAAAGAACCCCAAAATTTTCTTTGTGGATTCTTACCCACAGTATTTTATTTTAATATTGGCATAATACTTGGTTCGGCCACAGTAATAGGAATAGTGTTTTTATCATTCATGTAAAAAATAAAAGGAATAGTGTTCTCCACAGTAATTATCATTTCTGGAAAAAATTTCATGTAAATCCTTATTCTTACTTTTTTTTTAATTATTGATTGCACTTATCTTGTAAAATCTATTTATATCCATTATCATTTTATTTTCTATCATCACAATTTGCATCCAATTCTATTCCTATCATTTCCAACTAACAGGCAAGACTCAAGGCAGGAGAAAGAGTTAACGGGTTAAAATATAATCACGAAAGTGGGATAAGATAGACTACCTTCTTGGTGAATTGTGTAGAAGCCCTGTTGGCAATGATCATGAAAGAAAATCGTGCTTAAAAGTACACCAATTTATCATTATCGTTATCATTATTATTATTATTATTATTATAAGTTAAATTACATTTATTATTTGCTTATATAAGATGTCAAGTAAGTTTTTATGTAGCTTTTCTTCATTTAATATAGCAAATTTCGTCAATAACATAACATAGCAATTAATAGTATAGGACCTTGAAAAACAAAATTAAAGACAATAGAAGTTAATTTTAAATATTTAAAGGTGATGATATTTGTATTCTATACAGCTGTTTTAAAGTTGAGGAAGGTTTTATATATTTTAACTTTATTATTATTATTGAAATGTTCAAAGATGAGTGGAATTAAATTGGTATGAGAAATTTCTCATGGAATAAAATTAGACTTAATAATATATATATATATATATATATATATAAAGAGCCACGAAATAAAGCGGTTAATTTATTTTTAGTGAAAACATGATGTGTTCAGCTGTTGAGGTAACAGGAGTGATTAGTATGGCAATGGGCATCCATGGTAGAATAACCCAACAGATACCAAACCACCACACTCTCCACCCATTAATATCACTCGCCCAATAAATACACTCCAATGTCTTCCGCAAACTACATTCAAATTTATCAATGTTCGCCAAATTACTCTTCTACTGCATCTTCGGGCTCATAACGTGACAATACTGCATCGCCATTTTGGCCCGCACATTCACGTCTCAAATAAAACTCGTGCGGTTTTTTCTGCCCTATATTCCTTGCTTTTTGCATTGCTTTATTTTTCCACATTTTCAATTGAATGCTTGATTAAAAAAAACAATCCCAACTGCTTCCACTTCTAAATTCTTGAACTCATCTTTTCAAATTCCCAACTACGTATGTTTGTCATGATTTCCACCCTGCATGCTATTAGTTGATAGCAGGCTAAAATTATTTATTTTAGATTTACACGGATCCTGCATTTTTTTTAAATTGTTTGATCGTACTATTTCAAGCAAGGATAAAATAGGCGTACATTGTGATAACCTTTCATTATGCTCTCTGTTTCTTGGGAAAATCACCCTTAAGTTTTCGGTGAAAAAAATTTAAGTGTGCAAATGTAATTTATCCATAATATATTAAACTCTTGACCGAGTATTTGTTCTGAAATATTGCCTTACTTTTTTAGTCCTCGATTCGAATCGAGTTGCTGCTTCTTTTCACTCGTGACTCATGATTGGTCAGTATATTTTATCCTGGTCATAGGTTTTTTGTTATAGATAATGATGTGTTTAATTCGGGATTACGAAGTTAGAAATGCCTCAAATACCACCATTGAGAAGAAGCAACAACTCGATTGACAATGTATAAGATCAAAATTCCAATTTTTCGGTGTCATTATTAAATGATCCCTTACTATATTCCCAGTTTTTACACTGATCGTACGGTTTAAGATATTTCAACTCAACACGCGTGCATATGCAGCCGATAACTACAATGGCATCATGGCATCACGGCATCAACCATACAACAAATGTGATAAAATACGCCGTGTTCAAATGAAATTTTAATTTTTAAACAGTAAATCCATGTTTTAGAAGGTTTTTTTATTCTAAATTTCATCACATAAAATAATATTAAAAATACAGTAAACATAAAGTAACATCAAATCTAAATGATTCGATTTTAGTTTGGACAACTGAATTATTCGATCTTAACTGGAAGAATCCTGAGATACTGAATCAGCAAAAAGCATTTGCAGCGAAGAAATTCCATAATGAGAGCAGTCCCTTTGAAAATTAGTATGGCCTTATGGGTCGGTCAACAACCATATTCATTCAATGAACTAACAAATAAGTGATAACAGTACCCTCCCTCTCTTCCATTGCCAAACAAGAAAATCTCAAACGCTCGAAAGCTCCACCGTCGGACCGAGCTTCATTTTCTCCTTGTACTCCCTCAATTCTCTCTTGTACCTTTCCTTGTCTCTCAACCCAATGTTCTGGTAAACCTGTGCCACACACCAAATCACACATCACTCGTCAACTGATTAATTGCTTCTTCAACAAGCCAAAACAAATCCAACAATAAAAAAAGAAAAAACCACTCGTTACCATTCTCTCTTCGGGGCTGAGACTGCTCCATGACTGCCCGATCATCTTGGTGAATTCCCTTTCTCTGTTTGGATAGAGGGCCTTGAGCTTGTAATGCTTCTCAGCGAAAAAGAAGTTATAGCCACTCCTGTTCGGCTTCGGATAGTTTGGGTCCCACCTTCTCCTGTTTCTCCTCCTCCGACCAACACGCCCGCCTTTTCCATTGTACACAACGATGGCGTTCCTGCTCTGCGAAGCGGATGCACAAGTTCCCGACTGCTCCGGATGGTACAGCACCCCTCTCAGAACCTCTGTCCCCACTTTCACCGACACCAAATACCCTCCGTCGAATTTCCCCTCTATCATTCCCTTCACTTCACCGCCCGAATTATCTGCACCCCAACTTCAAACGTCAACTGCAGATTTTGTTTGTTTGTTCGTTCCCATGAAAACAATATTCATGTTCCCTTAATTTACTGGCCATAATTGCCCGATTAATCATTTCTCTACGACGCGGACCCAAGAAAAATCATGTTTAAACATGCAAGATATATATGTCGAGTTTATTATAGCACAACCGGGAGCCGGCAAGAGCAAATCCGAAGCAGATTAATTATCGAGTTGGTTAAATACCTTCATTGTGGGATTCGGGACACTCGTTTATCCGCTGGGGCGAGTATTCCACAATAGCTAATTCTGGTCTCCATGAGTGGTTGCTGACAGAAAATGCAGCTGCAGGACAGTAAAGCGATTCGCCATGAGGCGTTAGGCGACGAAATGAAAATAATAACAGAAAACAAGCAGGAGCAGAATCCTGATCATCTAGTACTGGCATGGGAGAGATAGAAAAACCAAAACAAACATCGGTACCCGGAAAAAAAGAACAAAGATGAGGAACAGGCAGTGAAGTACCTGCAGATGGAGTGGACACAGGACCCCGAGCCTTAAAGAAGTGAACTTGTTCGTAATGGTAAAGAAGACCCAGGTAGTGTTTCCTCAGTACGAAAGAAGCGCTAGTTGTAGTGGGAGAGAACCTGAACACGTTCCCCACTTCCCTCCATTTCTTGTCCACGACCACCTGCACTTTGAAATCCCTCCCGGAGCGGAGTTACTCAAACATGTTCCCATAACAATAAATAATAATAGTAATAACAACAATATATGTAGCGATGGAGAGGGAGCCCACCTTCTCATAACCACTCCTCCTCGTAACCTCCACGTAAAGGACGTGCAAATCCAGTTCCTTTCCTCCAATCACAGGAATCCTGGGGACGAAGATGTGGCCGAAGAGATTTAGCATCACCGACACAAATGTGGAATTTACTGGATATATAGATAGATGTGGAGTATTTCCAGTAAAATGATATCGGGGAAAGAGGTGAACCGAGGGAATTAAAAATCACATTCTAAGTTGGGTTCTAATCTAGCAACGCGACAAATCCCGAATGAAAAGAGGAGAGCTTACATGAACTTGGTGGCCATGAGGAAGTGGAAACGCCTCAGGGTGTCCCAAAATAGGGTGGGGTCCTTGACCACGTCCTCGTGCGACGCGAGTGGGGGAGGGTAATGCCTGCCTTCCTCCCCACTCCACCCCTCCTTAGCATTCACCGGCGACATATCCGGCGAAACGCCCAGCACAAGCCTTAAAAAAAAAAAAAAGATTATAGTAAGGAAAAGGTGGGGAAAGGAGCATAGGAAGAGAAATTCAGAAAAGCAACTGTAGGAGACGAGCGTAATTGTAGAAGAGGGGATGATAATACCGAGAAGAGATAGCAATTAAGGAAAGGCGAGTCAGAGGCAGGAGTGAGATGAATTAAAGAGGGACATGAGATGGATTGCCGCGTGGGGTTAACGGTTACGCAGAATTGGCATTTTCTGGCAAAAAGTCCCAGGTCTTATTTATTTGATTGCAGGCTATGTTCATAATTACACGCCTCCCTCTTCTCTCTCCGTTTGCTTTCTTCTATCCTGACATCTCCCTGCTCCCTTCTCCCAAACGTTGACATGCACTCGGGTTTGATTCTCTCCAACGTATCTCAGCGTACCGCCAATGAGAGCCTATCCCTATCTGTGCTCCTACCATTTATAGCTTCCTTCTCTCTTCACAGTGCTCCTCACCCCTTTTCAGTATCAAATCCTATCCCATCACCACTCTCCCACCCTTGCTTTATTTGCTCACCACATTACTTTTATCTTCCAATATTCCCTACTCCTCCTCACTATTGCTGACCCGTACATCCCCTCTCTCCGCGGTCAATATGTAATTTTCTTTTTCTTTTAAGGTGTGAGTAACGAAAAACACAGAACCCTTGGAGAGTGTTGGTGAGTGAGTGGGTCCTTGCGGACTTCAAGTAACGATTCTCGTGCTTGTGGTTGTGGGGCATGTCTATCCATCCAAAAATGTTTCGGCCGTTCATGTATAACCTGGACTGGGTGGTCTGACATTGCTGACCTGGCAATTGTCTCCTTTTGGTTGGTCAGGGCTGGGCCTGATCCTGCCTTGCTAAGATCCTGGACATGTGTCGCTCTGGGGCCGCGTTCTCAGAACCCTTCTTCGATGCTTGCGAGGCCCAACCTTATAATGGATCTTGTATCAAAAGTCCGGACAAAGAGAGAACCTACTGGCTGATACTCTAACGAGAAGACGCCGGAAGACAATTATTTTACGATCCACATCTGCTCACGCGTTCTAATTGTCCGAGATAATCTAGGAAAAATTAAAATAAAATATATTTTTTAAAAAAGTTATTTTCTTTGATAGATCAATGCTAGCCGGTGACCTCTCCTATGCTTGTTCTGCTTGCTGATTTCTGTAGGTCTTCCCTTTTTTTTTTGGACGAGATATCTGTGGGTCTGATGATGATTGTTTTGTGAAAACTGGTGTTGGTTAATATTTGTCGTTTTTTTGTGGTTTTTTGTTTTTTGTTTTGTTTTGTTTTTTGTAAGAAGTGTTTTAGGTTGTATTGTTTAGGTTTTTTTGAGTAGTTTTTCCTAGTTTCAGCTATTGATATTTGTAATTATTTTTTGATGATTAATAAAATTGACTTTTTTTTAAAAAAAAAGCTAGCCGGTGACCGAATAAGGGTATCGGTCAACATTCATCAAAGGCAAGGGCATATATATACATAGAAAATATTTTACAAGTCAAATTAATTACAATCAAATTTTTAAAAGCTAGAGAGTATTTTAATAAATTTGCAGGACTTGCTTCTGAATAAATTTGTCATTCGAGACTTATACGTATTTTTTAAAGAATTTAAATACACGGTGGAATAAGCAACTAGAAGAGAGAAGTGATTGCGTTAAAAATTTGGATTGGAGTACTAACTGAATCTTTTTGACCCAAGGAGTATTAAGGTTATACAAGAAGGAAGCAGATGCATACTGAAATTTGAATTTCTTTTTTTAGAATATAAGATTAAAAACAAGACAGAACACATTAATCTAAAGAACAAAGGCCGAGCTAGGAAATTGAGGCGGGCCCGGTCTTTAGAAATTCAAACCCTAAAATTCAGTTTTTTAATTTTTAATTAGACCCTAAAGCTCAATTTTTATTTAAATGACTCAAAATTAAGCCCGTGAGCTCACTTTGAAAAAAGAAAAAAAATTAATATTATAATTTAAATAAAATATTATAAAAATCAATACAAAACAAATTAAAGTTTCATATCTTAAAATTTTAAATTTACGATAAGGATTAAAATTTTCATCTATCTAAATCTAAATCCTTCTTATCATTATCTAAAAATAAAATATTACATCCCTCATATATAAGTTTACTTGTTGAAGATCAGGGTGAAGATTCAATATTAATTATCTTTATAACTTATTTATTATTACTTACAATAAATATTAATTCAATTGTGTTTTTATATATATATATATATATCAAAAGATAAAATATAAAAATTAACATAAAATGTCACAAAACCATTTAACCACAAGTATAAATTAATGCTTGCACATTATTTAAAAAAAAGCAATATTGATACATTGTTAGAACATGAGAGCCCATGCTAAAAGACAATTAACTAACTATTATAGTGATTGAAATATTTAGAATATTGAATACCATATTTGAAAGATTGAGAAATTATTAATGATTAGTCCTAAAACTAGTGACCATCTTCTTTTAAATAATAATCTAATTTAAATTTTTTAATGAAAAAAATATCTCTACTCTTAAAATTAAGAAAATCCTATATTTTTTAAAAAATTCCTAATCTAGTTATATAGTGAGTTTTTAGTTTTTTGTATTGTAACAGAGTTTGAAAAATTACTTGAGATTAAGCTCTTTTTTTAAGTTGAGCTTCGAAGCTAAACTATGTAAAAAATCACTTATTTTTCTAATTATGTAAAAAATCACTTATTTTTCTAACTGGAATATTTATTTAAATAGAGCTTAGGTTCAGCTATTATTTTAAACTCTAAACAAGATCCTCACTTGAACAATCGCCAAATTTATCTCTCAAGAGGATAAGAGGAGGAATTGAAAGCATCCATGGTTATGAATGACATTGCTGTCGTTTCAAGAGGGTCTGAGAATAAAATTAAAAAAAAAAAATGGAAGCGATAAGTAGGTGGGTGCTAGGGGAGCGGAGTAGCCATTGAAGTCGCTTGCCTTCTATTCCTTGGGAGTGTCGTTTACGCGGCGGATAAGTCCAACACGAATTAATGCTGCGAGCAATGGGACACGCAAACTCGCATCCTTTTTGGATCAGCATAAAGTCACACGCAAATGGGTCTGGTTGTTCCTCCAGAGTTTCTGTTTGAATCCCACGCAGTCCTCTCTCCACAGCAGCAACAAGAACAAGGCTTAGCTTAAACATAGGAGCCAATGGATAAATTTGTTTTTGGTCATAAATGTTCTCCTTCCTTTTCTAAATATAGACACATTTTATATTTATCGTTATTAAATATTATACAATAAATATAAAGATTTTTAAAATGTTAAATTTTACATGCACCCTTAATTAATTGAGTTTAAATTTCTAAAACGTTGCACCCTTGATCCAGATTATTCACATGCACTATCTATTATTTGCATATCCATCTGCTTCTATGAAAATTCTAACCAAACATGCTTTTGGAAACCCTCTTCTCCCCCAGGTATAACATGTACAGTAATTAGGCAATGTAATTTTGCCTAGTCTGAGCTTTTCATTTCAGTCTCAATTGATTTCTAGAGTTCATTTTAAATTTATTTTTAGGTATTTTTATATTTATTATTAAAATAAAAATTAAGAATATGTAAAAATTAATATGAAATCTATATTATGCAAGGTATATCTAGATAGTTAATTTTTAATAATTACAAAAATATTAATATTAAATTGGATCATCAGGATTATGTATGTGTTTTCCAAAATACATATAGATAATCAATTAGTAAACTTATAAAAAATACTATTAAATTAGATAATCTAGATTAAATTTGCATAGTCTATGTTGATTATAAACAGATTTATTAAACAATTTTATAAATTTTTTATTTTGATAAATATAAAATAAAAAATAAAAACTTTTAAATCTGTACAATTCACATCTCACTAATGGTGATGAGTACCATGATACTCATTTCTTGTTAAGCATGGAAGACAATCAAAGTTTAATATTAAAATTTTCATATTTTTTATAAATTTTTATTTTAATAATACAATATTAAAATATTTTTAAAAAATAAATATAAAATGAAGGGTTAAGATCAGGCAAAAGCCTGATCAAGGAGCACCCCAACATGGGATGACTTTGCTAGAAAATCAAGAATCCAAAACAATTAGGTGGTATTTGTTATGAATAATTTACATTAACGAATGAACATAGAGCATGTTTAAATATATAAACACTTTATGATGAGATTTTGGAAACACAAACACTTTTATGGACTCATTAGGATACCAAACTCATCTTTACTCCTTGCGAGGCAAATTGCTGTGCAGATTACTTGACTAAAATGGCACATTCATGCCCAAGCTATTTCAAGATACTCCACATAACTTCGAAAGGCTATAAACGTTTTCTTTTTGTATAACAGAAATGGGGACATAGCCCACTTGAATTAATTAATTTGAGTGTTCAAAAACTTCATTTGCAATTATATTTTTAGGTGAAATGACCCATTTACCCCTTCCAAAATTTTTCAATGTTTATGATAGACTTTTGAATCTCTTCCACTTTCCTCCCTTTCTTCCTCACTCTTCGTTCTCTCCCTTTAGCCAAAATCATTATCTTTAAAATTTTGAGATGTGATGTATTAATCATATCCTTGGCCTTTCATCGTATCTATAGGATCGCTGAAGTTGGATTTGGAAAAGTTCATCATTGGAATCTTTTATAGACATCAAAAGTGAACATACTTGGAAGGAATAGAGTTCATGTGATTGGATTTAATAAATTCCTTCACAATAGGGATCATTCCCATCCTCTTGCGATTCTCTTTATATGTTTGGGTTGAAGAAACCAAAATTAAAAAAGTTTAAATAGATTGAAGAAACTTTACATTATGTTAAATACATAGATTCATGCTGAACTGGGAATTTACATTCTGTACATGGTGAATTCTTTTTATCAGAATTTGCCTAGGTGCTTAAATAGACTTTGTGTTGTGAAAACTATGATGTACTGTTGTGAAAAAAATGAAGGTTATACTATATATACATAATGGTTGATTGTTCATATTAGATGTTATTATATGTATGTTTAAAATTTTTCCTCAAAGTAGCATATTATTTTGAATGAGAGTAAAATTCAAGTTTGGCTAATTTTTTACATCTATTTCTCTGGATTTATATGGAGTAGTTAGTAAAAAAAATGGAGATTTAATTGTTAATGTGTAAATTTAAAATTGTAAAAATGTGAATATATAACTGTGAAAATATAACTTGCTATCACTAAGTTGTGAATATCTAAAATCGTAAGGCCTTGACTTGTGAATAACTAAACATGTACTTGCAAATATTCAAACTTTTAGTTGTAAACACATGAACTTGTCAGCTCTGAACAAGAATTTCCCTACGTGAGAAGATATGGAGTTACTTAAAAATAGACAATAACTTATTAATATGTGAACCTAATGTTGTGAACACATGAACATGTGGTTGCACAAGTCAAAACTTGCTCTCACTAAATGGTGAATACCTAAAATTAAAAATTTTAAAATTTTGACTTGTGAATAGTTGAACTTGTATTTGAGAATATTCGAGCATTTTGTTGTAAATTTGTGAATTTTGGCATGTTTATTCTAAATTTTTGTTTGTCAAGATATAGATTTAATCGTAAATATCTGAACTC